ACCTTGACTCCTATTCTGGCTGTCCTGGGCAGAAGCATGTTGTTGAGCCAGATCAAAAAACTTCCTGGACTGTTGAGGTGGTTGCATGGAGCCTGGAGATGAAGGAAAATTGCTTCCCCCCATCATACCTTGAAGACCACTGGCTTGATATGCTAAGATGGCTTCATTTCCTTCAGGTTTTCTAAGTAGTTGTTGTTGTAATGACTGCAAGAACAAATATAAATGCAAAAAGATAACACATAACCTTCTCAAACAAATGCATAATCTTTAACTGGTATCCAGATGCATTAATGACTCAAATGACAGGAGTTGAACAACAATAAGGGGCATATCATTGTATGTTGTTCAAGTAAACTTCAATCCTATGGCAGGGCACGAAAGTTGTGATTGTAAGAATATTATAGAAGTTGTAGCCCACTAGGTGAATTCAACATAAACAAGAGTGAACGGACAAACCACCCAAGCTTCAATTAGGGTATGACATCCTTAAAGAAAGTAAAGAAGAAAGAATAGTAGTCTCAGTAGGTTATCTGCTGTGATTAGAACATCTAGGAGTTAAGGCCATGGACATTTAATGCGTACTTTTATGCAAATCAAAAAGGAAATCTATGGAAGGGCATACAATTCAGGTGTAGGATTGCTAGTTTCCATAATAATGGTAATCAGAGCAGTAAAAACAAGAAACAAAAGGAAAGAGAATCCCCAATACAACCAGTGAATAACACAAGGAAAATAACAAATTCTTAATCAATTCTAAATGGGTAGAAGAAAAAAAAATGGAGACTAGGCTCTTCTTTTACAAATCGTCTAGCTAAACAAAATTGAGAGAATTTCAGGTCAACTAAACAAATTGAGGTGGTATTCATGATAATCGCATAGATTCTACAAAAAAAAGGGACTACATATGACGTTTAAAAGTCATTGTGGAATGGTCTTCAAGGAATCAAGAACACTTTTACCAAGCCTCAATAACAAACTCATTGCCCTGAGCCTTCAACCATGCATCTAGATTCATTAATTCAATAGGAGAACCTAAAGAACAATTCCATATCACTATATCTATCTCTCTCTCCTTCTTCTTCTTCTTCTTCTTCTTCTTCTTTTGAGAGCAGGAGTGCTGTGTGGGGAGAGGGTTGTGAAAACTAAATACTTAAAACAAAAAATTCAAATGTTTTTTGTAGTCCTTCTAAAATAAAAGGATTAAACATAGCTACACTTTCACTTGCACCTACATATAGGGATATACAAAAGAAATTCTGCCTTACAGCTTGAATTCGAAGGCTTTTATTACTCTTTCTAAGACCTAAGAACTGAGTACAATTGATTCCTTTGACACTTAACGAGCTCAAGAGTTTAATGCTACGAACTACAACCCTCCTCTAAACCCCCCCCCCCAAAAAAAAAACAATTTAATTACCAAAAATTAACTAATCAACCTTATCTACTAACCTTATGTACTAACCTAGTTACATCAGAATTGCATTTATTACACCAAATTAAAATCCCAAAACCCGCCAAATTCAACAACCGTTACTGCCCATTTGCAAAAACATTCTGAGTTCAAATAATCAGGTGCCAATTCAACCAAATTTTCATTACACAAACTGAAATTTCATAAACCCTTTACCTGCCTAGACGCTATTTGTTGCTGCTGCTGTTGCTGTTGGTGTTGTTGCTGCTGCTGCTGCTGCTGCATCGAATCAAATCCCAAGTGAGGGGTTGAAACGGCCGATGACGAGGAAGAGGGCGAAGCTGCGGACGATGTGGATGCGGCCCTCCCCACCGGACCCACCCCCGGGTTCCGGGTGGGCCCACCTCCGCCACCACCACCAGATTGCATAAAAAACTAACCCCAATTTTCTTTAACAAAAATTCCCCCGCAAATTCCAAATTATTACAACAAAAATTCAAAAAAGAAAATACCCCAGCACTCTTACAACTCGAATCCCTCCAAAAATCTTTATTGGTTTTTCAAAACCCCCTTTTTGCCCCCTGATCCCAACGTTCAAAAGGAAATTAAAAATAAAAAATTTAACTAAAAACAAAAACAAATAGTTGAAATTTGTTTTTGTTTCTCTCTCGAAATCCGAAAATTACGGTAGAAATGAAAGGTAGATCATGATGAGTTGAACAAGAAAGCGAACGTGACGGAAACCGGGAAGAAAAAAATCGTTGATTCCACTCACTGCCCACTCACCACTAACCTCTCTCCCTCTGGCTTTTCACGCAATTTCGCAAATTTCCTTTCCTTCTCTGGTCAAATCAAACCCTAGTGAGATCATTTTTTCAAAATATTTTTTTGTAAAAATTTAAAGAAGGTTTAATTTTTTTTTCCTCTCTTGGAATGGTTTGTTGCGAGGAGACTTTATATTTGCTTTTATTTATGCTCTGCTTTACCTTTGTGCTTAGTGATTAGCTTTAAGGTGGGGTCCACCGGGCTGTGCCTACAGTTAGGAATAGGGTAAAGCATGTAAATGTTAGCCCTATGTTTTTATGATATTTACAGGAGAGACCTCCTCTTATAGCACGAAATTCGAAATCAAGCGTAAAGTGCCAAGAAAATATCTGAACGAGCTCAACAGCTTGTAATTCAAGAAATAATTTAACCAATGGAAGCCTTACACGTATCACTAAGTTAAGCGTATGGTTTTTTTTTTTAAACTTTGTCGTTTATACTTAAATAATTTATACTTTATAGCACATACTCTAGTGTTAAAAATTAAAACTAATGTTAAATTTATATAAAATTAAAGTTTTTGCTTAAAAAATAAAATATCTAATTTAAATAGTGTATTTTTATTGACACATATAAAATTTTAAATAAATCTTATTTATATTGTATTTAATTATTTATTATATTATAATTAAGTTATAATTATTAAATATTATGTAAAAAATTAAAATATAATTAAACAATCAAATTTATATATGATAATAATTGATCATAGGTCGATTTTGATTAAATTTGAATCATATTCATATTTGATATTATTAAATTATATGTATGTCTAAACTCATTTCATTAAACTCATTTTATATAATAAAAAATTAAAATATTTTTTAAATATAATTTACATATATATTTATATAATTATAATAATTTAATTATATTTATGTTATTAGATTATAATTCAAGTTTTAATTTTTATGTTCAAAGTTCAAATTAAAATTTAAATAAATTTAAATTTTTGCTTAAATTTATTTAATAAATTTTAATTTTTTATTTAAATATTTTTAAAATTTGAACGAACTTTTAAATTTTGATGAACAATCTTACTTTTGAACAAATTAAAACATAATAAAACTTTAGCTTTAAGACATTAGGATTTTAAGACCATCTTTTTTACTACTAAACTAAAGCCTCGTCAGCTTGTTAATTTTATTTATAAATTTCAAGATTTAATGTAAGAAAATCAATTAATTTAATTTTTAAAATAATTTATCTTTGTACCCAAAAAAATACTGATTTATTATTCACTATGCTCCACAAGTCTATTTAAAGGTTATTTACATTCAATATTTATTCAAATTTTTATAAAATATATAATCAATAATATGAAATTCAAAAGTGATATTTTTAATTGATATAATATTTTTGATTTTTTTGCTTAAAAGAATAACTCAAAGTCACAAAGAAAATGAAAAAAATAAATTACGATAGAATCACATCAACAGCATTTGTTTGTTAATACGTAATTAAATAAAAAAATAGTTGATTTTCAAAATAATTAAGTAAAATAATTTTCATCGATAAACTAAAATCAAATATCTTTAGTCTCTAATTTACTTTAAAAATTAGTTGATTTTCGTTCTACTGAGGCAATCAATGTTAATTTTTAATTCATAAATAATTCGTGTATCGCAAGTAATTAAAATTAATATTAATAAATGATAATTTATGATTAAGATAATGTAATTTCATTAAAAAGTGATACTCATAGTCTGACAAAAAAATTAAAATTAGAAAGGTTGGTGAAGGGCATATGATGCCACGTGGCGAAGGTGAGTCTGGCTTTGGTTATATGGTTTAAGTGGGGTCCTTCCCACTAAAGGCGATTAAAGTGTTTGATCTAGCAAAATCAAAATTAAATTTGAAAAAATTAGGTTGGGTAAAAGATTGTAACTTGCGGGAAAAGATTAATTCCTAAAACGTTAGTATCATGAATAATTGTTAAAATATTATAAAATATTTAATATAATATTTAAATTCTTTGTTAAATATAAATTTTAAATAATAAAAATTTTAATATAATATTTAAATTATAATTTTGTTAATTAATATCATATTTAGAATTTGGAAAATTTAGAAGTCAAAAATATCCGACCTGCCGGATTCGAACCAGCGACCTAAGGATGACAGCTCCAGAAACAACTACAGTCCTCCGCTCTACCAACTGAGCTAAGGTCGGCTGATGACGAGAAGATTCATATTTTGATAATAAGAAAATTATTGGGGCGAATTCAAAATCTGAAATTTCGCTGCTCGTGAATTGCGGATGAGAACTTAAGCAAGCAGCAGCAAACCTACTCTGCCTCCCCTGTTTGCAATTGTACCAACAGCCTTGTCTCCTGGAGAAGCGAAGAATCATTGCATCACAAGTCTCTAGTTTATGGTTTGCTTTTGGATTGTGTTTTTTAAGGCCTTCATGTTATTCATGTTATTTAGATGTATTTTGTACAAGTATGTGTTTCCCTATTGGCTTTCATTTGAACTATTTTTATTGTTTTTAAAAATGTCGTTTGTCTTAGTTTGAAAAAAAAAAAGTGGATTATTTTGAAGGATGTTAATTTAATAGCACATTTAAATTGATATTCTTTGATCAGATCAAAGAATGAATCTTTTGACTATTTTTTTTTTTTATGCGTGCTTAAATTTAAATTTTAGATTTATTAAATGTTAAATTAATTGCATAAATCGACTGAATAAACTTGATTTTTGTTGCTTTCCAACTTCTAAATTAATGAATATTTTGAATTTATTAAAAGATAAAATAGTGCCCTTCAATGCAAATTTTAATTATTGAAGATTTCATTTCACATAGAGTTCAACAAGTAATTTGAAACAATGTTCACGGTAGATTCATGATAACGTTGAATACCAATATTACATCTGAAACATTTGGTATACCAGAGAGAGCTTCCTTGTAACATGAAACATTCGGCTTCAGAAGAGGGCTTCCTAACATGTGTCATTAGGCATTGAACATCCATGGCCCCTTAAAAGGCATTTAGTCAACTGCCACTGGCTGCATGTTTTCAGCTTCTTTCCTTAGTTCTTGGAACAGGACTGATGACAAGTATCGCTCCCCAAAACTTGGATGAACAGTCTGATTTCGGAAACAAAATAAATAAAGAACACTAGGTGAGAATCACTATTGTTATCGCAGTACAGGATAAAGAAAGAAAAGTTTTATATACTCTCAAAACTACAAGCCTTTGATTATCAAACTTAAAATTCCCCAGACCAATAGTACAATTGCTACTCAAAACATGCTTCCACTGCTCAAATCTCACCTTATCTAAAGATCACACGAGTCATAAAAAGAACAATCATATAACAGAAAATGTCGGTAATTTTATAGTCTTCATGGGAAATTGTGGAGAAGTGCTTACCACAATCAATTTGCCTTTGTTCTCAGGCATTCTTGCAAGCCTGAGTGCTGCAATGGTGTTGGCCCCAGATGATATTCCAACCTACATTCCACCAAGTCAATATGATTTGAAAAGAATAATTTTGGTTTATCTCATGTGAAATTGTAAGCAATAACAAGATATTATGATGTATAAAAGGAAGCACCGACAAAAGTGAATCGAGATATCATTTGGATTATTACCATAAGCCCCTCTTTCAATGCCAATTCCCTTGCCATATTTACTGCATCTTCACTGCTGACCTGTCATACCACATCCCAACATAAGCCCTAAAGAACCAGATACTCAACAAAAAATACTACATCCTTATTCCACACCCTCTCCCTCTTCTATAAAATATATTCCTCACACTAATGAAGCATATAGGATACTGTTTACCTCAAGAACTTTTTCCATTACATCCATGTCCAATATGTCTGGCTTGAACCCAACTCCATTGCCAGTAATATGATGAGGACCTATTGCAATTGATAATATTAGAGACTGCAACTTTTACGACAAGGATTTATATTAAATCAACTAATCAAGTCATTATTTTTACTGTATCCTGCTTATATTCTGTTTATCAGTCAAACAGAAAAGTTGCCTGAAGGAACAACAACATAGAAATAATATCAACACAAAGTTTACCCGGTTTGCCACCATTCAGTATATTACTTTCTGCAGGCTCCACTCCGTATATCTATCATTCAAAGAAATGGAACAATATAAAAGAAAATTCTTGTTGTTACAAGGACTAAACTTGGGAAGAAATAGTAATTAATTACCTTTACATTAGGATTTTGGGATTTGAGGTACTGTCCGACTCCAGAAACAGTACCACCACTGCCTATTCCCATAACAAAGATGTCAACTTTACCAAGAGTATCCTCCCATATCTCAGGACCTGTAGTTTCAAAATGCACCTGTTTTTCCAGTTTGAAATAACTCAAATAAGTCATTTATCTACATTTGGAAAGCAGGAGGTTGAGGACAGAGTCGATGAAGATTTCGTTGTCAATTCAAAAAACTTCTACAGAAATTTATATATTGCATAATAATAAATTATTAGCAAAATGCATTGTTTACATCATCATGATTTAGAAAAGCTAACCCAAGTTTATATCTTAACATCTTAATAAAGCGGAATTGAACATCGGTATAAGAGTATACCTGAGTGTTGGCAGGATTTGAAAATTGTTGCAACATGAAAGCATTCGGTGTAGACTCCAAAAGTTCATAAGCCTTCTTCACTGTTCCTCCCATTCCTTTGGTGGGATCAGTGAGAATTAAATCAGCTCCAAATGCTCTCATGGTCACTCTTCTCTCCAAGCTTGTGTAAGAAGGCATAGTTAGAACCATCTTATAACCTTTCATGGCTGCCATAAATGCCATACTTATCCCCATGTTACCAGATGTCGGCTCTATCAGAGTTGTCTAACATAAGGTTGAAAATATATGAGGGGAAAAAAATCAAAGCAACCCAACACCTAAAGTTTTCCAGGAGAAATTAAAAAAAGTCATTTAGCAAACCTTTTCGGGAGAAATTAAGTTTTTCTTTTCTGCATCATTGATCATGGCAAATGCTGGTCTGTGAAAATAACAGTGTCCCATTAGTTTCCAGTTGGTCTATATCACATGTTCTACATCTCTAAAACTTCAAACTAGTACTAAATCGTAAAAGTTCCGAATTCCATGCAGGGTTCTCAAGTAACTAATACCTGTCTTTGATGCTAGCAGTGGGTTGCATCATCTCCTGCTTCACAGCAATATATGCTCCACAGCCTTCAGTTACTTTATTAAGAAAAACAAGGGGTGTTCTTCCAATTAGCTGAAATATGAAGAATTAATTATTAGAGAAAGGATGAACTTCATTTAAACAAGAACTTTAAAATTTAAAGGATTAAAAACAGGCTCTGGCCATGACCATCCACATACTGATTAGATAACATTGTTTATGCACAATTTTAAGATACAATCCTCTCTCTCTCAAAAACAAAAAAAAAAAATGAAAGAAAAGAAGACCAACTATATAAGAAATCAAGTAAATATATATTTAGAAATGCAAAGCAAAACCAACAAACACATGAGATTATTTTCAGCTGAAAGACAGCTCAGTGAAGTAAACAAAATACATACGTTCTATACGTGGCACTTCCTGAACAATCTGTTTCAAGATGAAAGAAAAGAAACTTTCCTTTTTTAATAAAGAGTAACTTTTACACGGATTGAGGAGAACAAAACAAAAGGGAAAACTGAAAAAGAGATGAAGATTTCATAAAAAGAAATTAAAAAGAATTAGCAAAATTAAGCATGTAAGAACTTTCTCAGATTATTAGATAAAAAGCCAAAAAGAAAACCAATAGAAAATATAATAACAAAAGAAAAGAGAAAAAGAAAGAATTAATTCAACAAACAGAGATTCAAGCAAATTACAGAGATTACCTGAGAAACTTCCCTCTTGATTTTAGTGCCACGAAGATCCTTGGGGAGATCTCTGAGTCTTTGAGCAAAAGGAGGAGAATTAATGATGGGTTCGGTGGAGACCAACCTCCTCGTCATCATCAGCTCATTGCACGTCAAAGATCTTTTGTTGATAAAGCTCCTTAGAGCAGCCATCAATGGAGGTTTCTAAATGACTTTGCTTAACTCTGAGTCAGAAATGGGTGGCAAAATTTTGGCAAAGCTTATGTTAACTGGTAAATGATCTAAAATGAAGACAGACCCATTTTTATACACTTTTCAGACATAAGGTGGAAGCCGCAACCCTGCTGAAGATACACTGTTACTGACTAGTAATGTATATGCAAATTTTGTCACCATTTAACGTTTTAGCACGGTAAAAATTCTCCTTTTCCCTTGAATCTTGTGCAATTCTAATAGTTCTTAGCGATAATAATTCTATTCATACAAATGATCAAACCCCTTTATCAACGAGTAATTGATTTAATTAATTAAATTTTATTTTTTAATAAAAAAATTTTAAATTTAAATTTGATTTATAGTAATTTATTTAAATCATTTCTATGATTTATAATAAATTATTTTAAATTATTATATACAATATATTTTATTTTGATTCAAAAAATTAAATAATTTATCTATTTAAAATTTTTTTTAAATACCCCTTATTAGTTTAGGTTTTCGTAAATCTAAAACTTCATAAATCATCATTTATAAAATAAATAAATTTTAAAATAGTTAAGATTTAAATTTTAATATTTATAAATTTTTTACTTTCATTTTTTAATGAAAAAATCTAAAATTTTTTTCATTTCCATTGTTTCATATATTTTAGATGAGAGTATAATGATTTAGATGCTAAACATTGAATAATTTGCAATCTATGCCGTGTTAAATTTTACTAATAAAGAAAAACAAAGAGAGCAAATATTTTTTGCACACAAATGTCTAGGTGCATTGATTCTAAAGCCAATTACATTGAAAGCTTTTTGAACTGGTTAAGAATCACATGGGCAGCTCAGTCAAGACACGAGTTGATTTGCGCGATGACTAAATTGAAGACAACTTCCTTTTTCTTTGAATAACTTTAACTTATATTATATAATATATTACATATTTCTATTCTTACTTCCAAGCTAGGCTTACCAAAATGCCTTTTTCCTTGTAAAAACAGGTAAGGAAAACCATGGGCTGAAAATTGTGCATGCACTTATGGAATGACATGTGAATTTGAATGATCCAATGATACCAATAATTTTAAATAAGATAAGATAACATGATATAAAAATTATATAATTTAAATTTTTAATAAAAACTACAAAAACTTTTAAGAAAAAAAATATATTTATATTTTTATGTTAATGTAAATTGTAACGTTTAAATTTTACATAAAATATTATACGAATATATGAATTATCAAAATTTTATACAAACTTAAAAACACGAATATCAAGTGTACTAAAAATACCAAAAAAAAATCGAAAAACAATATAAATTCATATTATGTGGATCTAATAAATGGATTATATATATATATATGTATGTATATATGTCTACATGAAAGGACATGGATGTACAGGAATGGGTGGAGTGGAGTGGTGGCTATTGGCTTCGCCTGATGAGGCAATTGAGGTGGCCCTTGGCGGCAGATAATGGTCAAAACTCAAGACTTTAAACGTGGAAGAGAATTGAATTCAAAAGGAACTGCACCAACGATTAGCACAAATTGAGAAAACAAACTAGGCCGGCTGATACCCTTCTAATTAAATATATAATTTACATATTATAGCAATGATTGATTTAATTGATTAAAATTTTGAATTTAAATTTTATCAATGACTGTTCGTTGAAATCATCTTAAATATATAACGTACAATTATGTATTTTAAATTATTAAGTAATATATTTTTTATTTTAATTTAAAAAATTAAAAAATTTATCTATTTCGATTTTTTTTTAAATCTACATATTCACCACATGCATAAATTTTATATATTTCAATTGACATTATTTATACGTCCAATCCACTCTGAATTCCTATAAAATGTTCAAAAATCTTGTTATCATGCGACAAAACTTTTAAGGTTCCATGCATTTCCAGTGAGAACCATGACAAAAGAAAGGATTATAATCCCATTCTCGCTAGAGGAAAAAGGAATTTTATGTGACATTTTTTTTTTTGTGGCGTTTAGGAGTAAATGCCTCTAAATCCTTTTATTTTTAAAATTAACATTGTTTTTGTAAAAAACGTCACTAATTATCTATAATTCAAGTTCCTTTGTCAAATAGGGGACTTTTCGTGGTATAGATCAAGTTTTCAATCAGTTTTTCAAAAAAAACGACACTGCATCCAATCGCCTTCAAATCAAGGGCGAGGATGAAGAAATCCAAGCTTGTTTAGTCACTTTACCAAGATTTTATGAAAGAGAGCAAAAAAATTAATTAAAATTTGTTTTTGGGAGATTGCACATCCATCATCATCTAAAACCATGAAAAAGTCAAGACTACTATAAAATTAACCACAACTGATTAGTTCCCTAGTTTACTAACTATGTTCTAATTATCTATTCGGTTAATGAGTTTATTAACTAAACCAACTATGATTAATAAATTCGTTGGCACACGAAAGAATATAAATATATAAACTTCAATATTTCGTTTCATTTATTTATGGCATAAATTTTTGTTGGTGTTAGCCAGAAAAGAAAATTTCAACTGTGGGGTTGCGTCATGAAATGTCGAATTGTTGAAGGTCCATGTTGCGGTTGATGCTACATTTCGCCAATCCCTGAGGTTCTCATGAAAAGAAGCTTAGCCAAGGCATTGAAAACTATTTAACTCATAAAATAAAGCAAGATGATGGGGTGGGCTTAATTAATAGGAGGCATCTATAGTGAAGATCCAACAAGTTTTCCTTTTTCCTGTTTTGCCCAATGGAAGGTTTACAGGCTTTCCTATTCTATTATCTTCCTTTAATACAAAGGGACCATGAAGTGATGCTGCATGCCTCGTCCATGAACCATGGTCACAAAGGGTATAGACAAATAGAGAAAAAGTAAGTAACCCCACACACATTCCAAAAGCTGAGCCACGGCCAACCAAAGCTGAGCCAATGCTGTTTCCGGTGGGTGGGACTGCCCATTCTCTGGACCTCTTGGACTGTTTGTTGGGCTTGACTCCACGTCTTTCAAAGTGACCGAGCAGCTCAACAGTTTATGAGCCCATCGGAGACTATGAACTTAAGAACTGGCCTTGTTTATGAAAAGGGACTAACAACTCAAAGGATATAGCATACGAGTGAACATCAAAAGCCCATTGTCGATTTTTTTTAACAAATGATTTCAAGTAAAATTAAGAATCACACAGATATTGATTTGATAATCCCATTCACCACCCAGCCCATGTCCAAGTGTATGGAACCTTATTTATAATTACTTAATTTAAATAAATTTAAAAAAGAGCAAGAAACTTTACTATATTTAGCCCACACAAAGACCGACAGAAACCATTCCTATCACGTTACGCTCTGCAAAAACTATTTTAGTATATCCAAAGCCGGTCAAACCTCTTCACTCTAGCACACAAAACCATGAAGAATAATTATCCCTCTATTCTCCTCCTTCTCCTTATAATTTTGCCTCTGGTTTTCTCCCCAATTGGAGTGGAGGGAGGCAAGCGAAGGATTCACATTACCGACGATCTCGACGACGTCATCGACGACGAAGAAGATGAAGACTGGAAAGAATGGGGTAAGAAGAAATTCTCTCAAGAATTCGATCCCCCACCATCTGACTTCGACAAGATGGAGGTTTCCCAGATTCAGGAGGAAGTTATGAAGCGCCACATGGGCCCTGCTTTCGGCTTCGTTAAGCTCCGCCTTGGGATTCCACGGAATCAGGTATCGTAATTTTCATTTGTATGGATCTGCTTCCATTTCATGATTGGTAGTTAATGGTTAATTGGGGGAATTCTTGGTTTCAGGACATGGTAGCTGAAATTGCTATGAAATGGACCAAAGTTTTGAGAACGGGAGCGCTTGGGGTGAAATTCATGGGGATTGATTTGAGCACAATCATGTTCAACATGGAAGATGGCCAGAAAATATTAGAGGTTCCGTTTACCTTTCTTTATCGCAATGATTCCTTTATGCTTCTACCAATGACCTTTTCTTGTTTAGTCATGGAAAGTTCATAGAGAATTGCTGTCTTTCTAATTACAGTTAAAGGAGTTCTTACTGAGCCAGGACGAGGCCTACGAAATCAAGATAGGGGATCAAATTTTTAGAAGACCAGGTGATCCGCCGCTGGACGAGGTCGCTGAGCAACTTCGCCAATCGAGAAACAAAGAGGTTGATGAGCATGTGAAAGAAGAGCTGTGATTGGCTGGAATCCTCCTGCTATGTCACATTCAAGATTAATTTAATTGCAGGACTAGTACATTATACATTGACTTTATAATGTTAAAATCTGGTTTGACCTAGAAACCTTTGCTAGGTATCGGATGTTGACAATTGACGGCTTCTCTGTTTACATCTTAATCCTATTTTCTGTCATGCAAAAGTATATTTCTGCATCCTAGTACCATATATAATAATCTTTAAATCCTCTCGCATCATCCATGAACTTGAATAGACGAAAATATCTGAGAATTTTCCTAAAATAAGTTTCAGAATTCCACAAAGAGGAGATGGAAAATTTGTCTTAATCAAAGCATGTTTAGTACTTGTAGTGTCATCCGCACCAATAAACCAATTGGTATCTATATTGGACAAAAGAAAAAGATAGCGAAGCCGATGACTATTTGAGCTTCTTACTAAAGTCGGAGAGCTGGAGTAGCTGAATTCTGGGAATGCTAGCTGCTTCTTCTCTCTCTTTTTGAGTGTTATATCCCCAGTCCCCTGTTCAAATAATCAATTTTAGCAACCAAGATGCACAATACTTTCGAAATGAAACAACAGACACCCTTGAGAAATAAGCCACATTTTTCTCTCCTTCCAACCCCATATGTCATCAACTAAAAACTCAGAACTTGAATGATAATAAATGATATACCTAGATACAAGTTCCATCCATCTAATTCTGGCTCTCTGATGACATTCTTCAGGGTTGCAAGCCGATCTTCCACAAAGCTAGTAAAATGAAAGTTGAACTAGTTTCAGCATTTTGAAACCAAATAGGCAGAAAAATTGCAAAGGTAAACACAGCAACTGCATACTCGGTGAGGGAAATAATGATATCATTATAATCAGGGAATACTGATGAACAATGGCAAGCAATGAACATACTGTAGTTTCATCCCCTGGTGTTCTGGTCTCAGTTGCAGTTGCTTCAGAACTTTCACCTTGGGCCTGATAAGATTTTCAAAGACCCTCGTCATGGCAAGCAAAGCAGGAGCAAAAGTTAGAAGGAGCAAAGAGTGGTGTTGCTCTCCCCAGTACTAATCAGATAATACTAACCCAGTTCCCAAGCCATATATCCTTTCAGGGGGGATAGTTACTCCTGCAAGCTCTCGTAATAAAGCATCTGCAAATCGGCTCTGAAATGAGACAGAAAGAAAAAGAACAGTCAAGATGATGAACAACAGAAACATTTCTTAATAGGTGAAGGAAGAATTGACTTGTAGAATAAATAATGAATCGAGGAACAAGAAAAATTAGAGGAGTAAAAATTCAAAATTTGCACTATCTATTAGTTGGAGACTGGAATTAAGAGAGCTTAAAAAAGACTTGTATTGATCTCAACTTTTTGATGCTTCCACGCATTCACTGGTTCCTTTCCCTTTTTTTGCTTTGCTTTTCATTTCAAATTCCAGAGAATGGGTCAAGCTATGTATATATTAACAACATTTGCACCTTCTTATTAGTAACAAAATTTTCCTCTTTTTCTCATGTGTGTTTGCGTGAGAAAGACAGAGAGGGGGGAGTGGGGGACAATCAGAGTAAAAGAAACTCAGTGCACCTGTTTTGTGGTGACTATATATATAGTTGAGCTAGCAAATTTAAGGGCATCAGGAACACCTGGATAAAACCTGTAGGATAAGCATCTTCTATTAATAACTGAGGGTCAACTCAATGTTTGATGCAAAAAATGCCAGAACAAAATTCAGAGTCTTAAAGTATGTAAAATAACTGGCTTAACATTTGTTGTTACTATTTAGGCTATCTTTTGCTTTATATTTGAGTCATCACTTTATGAATTTGGTCCGTTGACAATTTCGATATACATATTCACATCAATTACTTTAGGCTCATTGATCATGCCTACAATAGAAACATTTCATCTCTGGCCTAACTCAAGAAGCTTGATTAAGATACCTATTTGCACCAATCCAAGTTGCCAAGTCCTTATCCATCCATTCATCCCTAACCCTTCCAAAAAGATCAATTAAAGCGTCCCTGTTTTCATTCCATTCTTCCATGATTACTGGCTTTAGTTTTGACCAGTTTTCTAAAATTCTCTCAACAGTTAGTCCCTCTGCAACCTTGCAAAAAGAACTACAGACTTTAGGTCCAGACCAATATTATAAAGATAAATCTAATTAAGAATAAAGTAAGCGAAAAATAGTGGATCTTAGATACTCCATATCCGAAAAATAGCTTCAAGCCAGAGTTATGGGCATATGTATACACCCACCGAAGATTTCCGAATAGAAGGTATTCTAGTCTCCAGCAACAACCTCACAAGTAGCAGATTCTCATACCCAGTTTCGACCACAGGTCGGACCTGCCGCATATAAGTCATTAGCTTCAACATAGCTTTCTTTCAAAAATTTCAATTTTTAGCTCAAACATGAACCATCACCCAAAAAAATTCCTTTTTCTGACGTGTGATGCTAGTATTCAAATATGCAATATAACAGTTGATATAAAGGCTATTTAATTTCTATGTGGAATTGCATGCACAATGCTTCATATAAGGACAATGTAACACACTATCGTGGAGATAAACCTTCCATAAAAAGTCCAAAGAAATTGAATGAATTGATAAGAAAGTGACTAGCACCTTCTCTTCCGATAAGCACTAAGCAACAAACAATCAACCATGCCATGATAGCAACCATTCAGACGGGCTATAACAGTAGGCAACAACTGTAAGACTAAGACTTCCAAGATAGAGTTAAAATATTTGCGTTTCCATGTCCCTATCAAAATTCCCACACAGCCCCAACAATTATTTTATGGGTATTGCCATGTTAATTTAGAGTTTCAATTTCAATTTCCTCGAGAACCGAGAGCAATCAAAATTGAAACCAAATTACTTTAATTACAATTGGCAAGCATCGTTAGATATAACTAATTAATGAAGAAATCAAGAGCTCACTATGTGCATCTGATCAACAATCCAGTCTTCCATGAACGAATCCACACCGTCAAATAAACCCGGCCATCTCACTTTGGCAGCCTGTAGATAACAAGAAAATGAAAATTAAAAATAAAAAAAATTAAAAGAGGTGAGGGGAATTAGATAAAATTAATCGGTAATTTGTTTTTGAAAACCCTAATGTATCAAATATGCAAACTAAGAATGGGTCGAATGAGCTGATGCTGTAATGAGTTTCGTACAATTCCGGAAATTTATCCAATAAAACAAATAGAGAAGAAGATAGCAGAACTGAGCTTACCTTGACGGCGGAGAGTGAGCTCTCTCCACAGCTATCGCAGAGAACTCCATCGAAGTCCAAAGCGTATATATCTCCCATTCTTTCTTACGCTTTCCTCTTGCGGGGAATCTGCAGATAATCTACAATCAAATCCCTTTCCACCGCCCGCCTCTCATCTCCTGTTTTTAAGGACAGAATGCAGGGGTTGCTTCCTATCCAATTATAATACGCCACGTGGCAATGGCAGGTGGTTTTTTGTTTCTCGTTTTCTTTCTTTGATTTTCTTTCAAACTAAAAAAATTTATACATACAATGGATGACAGCAATAATTACACTTGGATTTTATTTTTTTTAATAATGAATAATATTACATATTTTTAAAATTTGATTTAATTTTTTTATTATTTGAATCAAATTTTATTAGTTAGATTTAATTTATTAGTTTTTTTAAATTTATTTTTTTATTATTTTAATATAATTTTTAATATATTTAAATAAATATAAAAATTAAAAAATTATTTATTTTTTAAATAATAATTATATAAGTTAATAAATATATATTTCCATTGAGGTAAGATATTTTTAATTTTTTACTTTTCAATCTAAAATTTTATCTAAATCAAATTAAAAATATTTAATATACAAATTTAAATATAACTAAAATAAAAAAATTAAATTAACACTATAATTTTAAATTAATTTTAAATTTTCTTAATTTGTTTCTCAGCTCCTATAGAATGAAATGAGATATTTTTTAATTTCTACTCTAATGAGTTTTTTTTTTTTATTTTGGGATTCAAAGTATTTGAAGTGAAACAAAAGAACAAATTTTTTTATAAAAGAAATTATAATTTATGGATTAATTAAAATTATTTTTTAAAAATAATTATATAAATCAATTAAAATAAAAAATTAATATAAAATACAAAAGAGTTATTTCAAACATATAGGGCCAAATGTTATAAAACAAACATGTCATCATGGGGACCAAAAAAATGGTGCAAGCACGAATATGGGTGGGGTCATCAGACGTGAGGTTCCCTTCTTTATCAATACAGTACTAAAAAAAAACCATTATGTTGCATCATGCAATGCATACAGACTTCTATCGTCTGCCCTCTTGTTTGTGTATAATTATCTCATTGTGTGTTAAAATGCTGGTGGAAAAAGGGAGAAAGAAGCATACAAGTACATTCGTGATTAAAGTTTTTGGCCCACATTTTGTCATCAAACTACTGCATCATGCCCCATGGTCCATTCCCTTGTATAAACAATAATACTACTAGCATTGATATTTACTCTAATTTGGGTATGATAAAATCCATAATTAGGTTAAAGTGATTAATAGAATCTTTTCCAAAAAAATAACCTCCTAACCAACGAGGCATTTAGAAATCAAAATCAACATTTAATTTCAGCTAAAAGTAGTTAGGAACCGCCCTTTGTTTTGTACAAATCAAATAAAAGAAGTAGGACAAGCAAAACCAATTTGGTTTGGCTCAAACAATAGAATAAAGTAAAGTTAAAATTAATCAATTGATCGATTTTATCAATGTAATTAAACTAAATTAAGTTAATTCATCATCATCATCAAATTAATTTTGATTGAAAATAAATTTGAAAGAAATTTTTTGTTAATAATTTAATTATCTAAAATATAAAAAATTTAAATATAAAATAAAAATACATAAAACGTATTGTTCATTTTATAAATTATTAGATTTTTTAATTGAATAATTTAATATTTAAAATATTGTGTTAAATAAATTGATTTAATTTATTTTAAATATGAAAAATTAAAAATTAAAAATATAATTTAACTTAAATGTATTATTATTAAATTAAAATTAATTCAAAATTAATTAAATGAGCATTTCTATAATAAAATAGTAATTGTTTCGTGTTAAAAAAAAAAGCGCCAGCGATTTTTTTTTTTTTTTCAAAATCACATTAAACATTTATGCGGAAATAGTCTTAAGATTTGATTTGATCTTTGTAGCCGGGGGAGGGGCTTGGTATCCGCAAGCGAGGCGCACGATGTCCCACTCCACACGCAAACTCAAGAACCTTTGAATACCGGCTTTAGCGCATTGTTTCCCCGTCTGTATGGATAACGACAAGATGTTATCTTACTGTGGCGATGCTATGCTATTTTACCTACCACAGCCGGTAACACCACCCTTTTCAATTCTATAACAGATTACAGTTACCGGTTCCTCCGGTTCATCACCCTTGACCATCCCCAACCTTTCTCGAGATCTATAAAAGCTCAGCCCGCCCCACGTTTCTATGTTTATTTCTGTAGACAATTAACGCAACCTAATTGTAAAACGTATCGTTTCTAGCTCCGGCTGATCTCGTACTCGTTCCTTTAGATTCTTCCGGTAAGTATTTGCCCTGAAGTTAAGGTCTTCTTTTTTCCTTTATCCTTTTAAATTTCACAAAATCAGAACCGTTTATTATCGATAATTTTTTGATTATCTCTTGATGATTAGTCTTGTCTTATTTTCTTGACCGGTGATGCTTGACCGTTTCTTGTAAATCGTCGGATGGCCTTGCTACGGTTGATAGGGTTTTCTGATCTCTTTTTTCTTATAATTAACATTTTCTTTGAAGTTTGGTTCTCATGTATATGAAGTTTGGTATATCTGCATGATTAAGGCTTATTTTCGTTGATTTAGTTGGATTGATTTGAATTGTTGGTTGAAATTTGAGATTAAGTTGATGGAACTTGTTTTTCAGTTAGATGAAAAAAATTTTTCCTCTAACTGTTAATGTATGTGTAATAACATGATATTAGGGTTTGGTTGAACCGATTGACCTGCTTATGCTGGAAAAGTTTCTTGGATGCGATGATTTTTTATTTTTGGCCTGCGTTTCTCGGATGGTGTTTCAGAAAATTTCTGGTGTGAAGGAAATATAATCTGGAAAATACTTTGTATTCTCTTTGATTGAGGAAATTAGGTCACTTGAAATGTTATTTTCATATTATTTCTTAGTCAAACTTGGGTCTGTTTATATTAATAAACATGAAATTGCTCTGAGAATTGTTAATTTTGTTAGTTTGTGGCTTTATAGTTTCTTCTTATTTTGCCATTTCTTAATGAACTGTTTTTATATGGATTTACCATTTGCTTCCTTTTAAGCGTCCCCCACATAAGGTAAAAAAAAAAAAGTCAATGAAATCCTTTATTTTCTTTTGTCTGTTTGTTTAAGTAATTAATATGATGCATGTGAATGAACTCTAGGAAGCATTAAGAAGTCCTGAGGATGGCGGATAATGAGGAGGGAAAGGAAAATATCCCACATGGGAACGAATGGGAAGTTGTGTCCCTTACTGCATCTGCATATGCGGCTGCTCCTGGTCCTAAAGAAGTTGAAGTGAAGGATGATAGCACAGGTGATTCATACAAAGCAGAGGAAGCAGAAACTTCTCGTGCTTTATTCATGTCTGGTCACTTTGTCTTTCCCCCCAGTGAGCATGAGAATTTGCCACTGAAACCTTTGGAATCTGATAATAGTAGTGAACATGTACGGAAGGATGTGGTCCCTGAACCAGGTGTAGAAGAAGGTGGTAGATCTAGGACAAAGGAAGAAGAAGAAGGACCTTTGAAAGGGTTGAATGTACATGATGAGTTTCCAGGTATGCAATTTTTTAATAAAAAGCATGGTACAGAGTTTGAAGAAGGCGCAACATTGCCAGGGATGGACTTGATTAACAAGGGCCAGAGTTTGTATAGTGCAGCTACATTTAGTTCTTTCCATGGTGAGGAAGCACTTGGTGGATCAACCACCTTTGGTGAGGATACACCTGTTTCTGAACTTGTTGAAGCTTCTGAGCAAGGGTTAGATTTTCCTGCTGACATCCCTCAGTCCCCAAAGCCTTTACAAGAGGATAAATGTGATGGCTCTGACCTCCCTTGTGAAGCTTGGTGGAAGAAAAGAGCAGTTTCGTTGTATGCTCATGCAAAAGAGGCAAATGCATTCTGGTCCATTTTCATTGCAGCGGCTGTGATGGGTCTTGTGATTCTTGGGCAGCGTTGGCGACAAGAAAGGTGGCAGGCATTGCAACTTAAGTGGCAGCTCAGCATGAACAATGAGGTATGCTGATTGCCAATTGATCCCTTCAGATTTAACAGTGATGCGTGCATTTACTTTTCTTTTTGCATTCTGTAAACCCTTTAGTTTGTGAAGGAAGAGGTTTTGAAAAGGCAGGTGCTATTTTTTTGTGTGGTGTTTTCATATTGTCACGTACAGCTCTGGCCAATATGTGTGTGTTTGTAAACACAGATATGTATGGAGACTTCTGAATTGATAGGAATTGATTTAGTAATCCTACTGCTTGGTTAGACTAAGTAGGGATAAATTAAAGAAAAATTAAGAAAGAATACAAGATCATATTATGTGTATCTGTTGATTGCAATGACTTGTTTGCTAATATTAATTGCTTTAGAAAAGATGACATTTGCCAACTGTTTATTCAATAATATTGAAGTTTTTGGAACTTGGACTGCGCAAATGTTGTATTTGTGTTGTTTTAGAATTAAACTTTCCAGTCTTGTGGATATTGAGCATGCTGCCTTCTTAATTCTGCTCTCCCTTGCTTCCTTCCTTCTTCTTCTCTTTCTCACCTACCTGACTGTCTCTTTAGATATTGAAATTGCTTTTACCTTTTGAGTTTTGGCAGAAGACTGGTCGGATGCTGGGTTCCATATCTCGCCTTAAAGATGTGATTGTTGGTGGCCATCGCCGGGGTTCTTTTGTCAGGGGCAACTTCCCCAGTGACAGTTAAAACTTGTGATGATGATGAAAAAGCATAGTGAGCGAGTGAGATGGAGATTGATTTGGGTGTTAATATGTGAATTTGCTGTTTGGTTAACTTATTTGTCTTATCTCTTATGAAACGCTACATGGCTGCATGTTAAAAGTTTATGTGATTTGTGTTTTTATTATTGGCATTGTTTGTTACTCAAGGGATGACAGTAAATGCGTCCCACATATACCCATAGATATTATTATCTGCGTATCTCAGGTTGTAAAGTTGGCATCACACCCCAATTTGAGGGCCCACTTTGGCCATTGGCCACTATGATGCATCATTCATCAGGCATAAAAGCCGAGAAAATTGGAAGTTTATTGATTTTTATTTTCTGATATGTCTTCTAATGGGGTTGATATAGTTGTTGTGGATGGATGGGATGACTTGATAGTGCTGCCATCATGTTTGGAAATGATATTCCGTAGCAAAATGAATTACTTGAATGTTGATGGTACAGGCATCAACAGATATGTGCCTAAGAATTATTGTATTTTCATTTAAGATGGTAATCTGGTTGCTGCTGGAAAGAAACCGATCATGATTGATTAGAGGGATCAAGTTTGAAAGGTTTTTGCACCAAGGAATAGCGACGTTGGAATAATTTAAATTGATCAGTTAACGGTTAATAGGAAAAAGCAAGAATGGCATAGATATACGTGGTTAGATAATTTGGGTTTGGCATCTCTGTTACTTTTCGATGCGTCTTTAGAGTTACCATAATGAGGTAAATGTATTGAAAAATAATAGTAAAAATTTTATACTAAATTGAGGAGTCAATTTTCATTCATGATTCGTATCTGAAGATGCCTTTGAATGCTGCATAGTAATATGGTATGGTAGAGAGAGAAAGAAAAGGGCGGAGGGATGGAAAAGCGGAGGTTGAGGGAAAATATTGGCAGCCCGTTGTTTGTGAATTTTGGCCCAACCAAAACCATGTAAGATCTCACTCTCGCTAGTTGGCTGCGCGTGTTCTTGGTCCTTAGTGGCAGTGGCGGGAAAACATATTCCTCGAAATTTTTTCTCCTTTTTCTTTTCTCACCACCAAATCCGGAATCCCACCCAATTTAGGGTTTCGAATCCTCTGATTAATTTGAGTTTGGACGCTTCTCTTCCGTTTGTTACTAATTACATTCTCTTTATCAGGTATTATTCCTTTTTCTTTTTTTTAAAAAACTTTTCCATTGCTTTTTCTGCTTTCTGAAACTGAAATCTCCCCTCTGTTTGGTTGCCGACAAAACGTATAAAAAATAAATAAATAAGAAATGCACCGTTTTCTTAATGAGCGAAAAACTGAGAAATAGTTTGCTCAATTTGTTTGGCTGAAAATTTAATTTCTCTTTCTTCCTAACTTTGTCTCAGTTCACACCTTTATTTTCCATTATTTCTCTGCTTATTTTATATAGTAATTAATCTTATCAGTTCTGATTTCTCAAAATAAAAATTTCTTTAATGCATCAGTGAAACTGATTCTGTCAATGGCGAAAGAGGAAGGCCTGCAAGTTACAAGAAGAACAACTAGATACTCTGCTTCCAACAATGCTGTAGAACCAACAAAACCCACTGAATTCTACAAGCCAACACTCAATGACCTTGGATTCAGACAGCAGCCCCTTGGCTTCGAGGATCTCTTGTCTTGTTTCCCTGGTAGAAGTACTCAAGTTCTTGAGCTTTTGCGCCTTTTGGGTCCCTTGAATTCCCCCATGTTTCCGGTTTTGGTCTATGGAGGTCCTTCTACTGGGAAAACCAGTGTTACTCTCCAGGTATTCAGGCATCTAAATCGCCCCTTCGTCTATTCCAGTTGTGTTACATGTTACAATCCTAGGATCTTGTTTGAGTCCATATTGAACCAGTTGTGGTTTCATAGGAAGAACTCAGGACATAGTTATTCTAGCGTAAAACGTTGTGAGAGGCCATCTGATTTTGTTAATTATCTTCGTGAAGCCTCGGAGAGTGTGATTGATAATCTCAAGGGGAATTCAGGGAAATTGAGTTCTAAGTTGAGTGGACAGCCTAATGGAACAATGGTTTACTTGGTTTTTGATAATTTGGAGCGTGTTCGAGATTGGGATAAAAGTTCTACTATATTACCCTTTTTATTTAACCTTTGTGATATTTTAAAGATGCCTGAGGTCGGTTTGATCTTTATTAGCAGCACCTCACCTGATACATATTACTTGAACATTGGTTATTTGGAGCCTATACCTCTTTATTTTCCTGACTACACAGAAGATGATCTTCGTCAAATTTTTATGGCAAATCAAGTCAACCGCAAGTTGTATACCTCCTTTCTTGAGTAAGTACCAAGACCAGAAGCCAATGAACTCTTCTTTGGTGTGCTTCAACTAATGAATCTCTTTCTTCTTTTATGTCACAGTGTTGTGCTAAGACCTTTCTGTAGAGTTACCAGACGAATAGATGAATTATCTGCAGCCTTTTCTTCATTATTTAAAAAGTATTCTGAGCCATTAAGTGACATGGAAGTTGCACCCAATGAAGACATGAAGAGAAGGCTGTTTACTCATCTTCGGCCACATATTACAACTGCTCTGAATGAAACATTCCAGGTTCGATCTCAGCCACTTCTCAAAGCTGAAACCAACCAGGAGACAAAGAAAAAAAACAGTTCAAGAATGTCAGGAATTCGTGAAGACTTTGATAAGATGGATTTTCATATGTCTACTTCTGCAAAGTATCTTCTTATTTCAGCTTTCCTTGCTTCGAGAAACCCAGCTACTCTTGATGCATCATTATTTGATTCAACTGGGGTTTCTGATAGTCGCAAACGAAAGAGGAAGTAAGCACTAAGCAAAATTAGCCTAATTTTCAGTGTCTCTTATAGGAATACGCTTCTAGGCCTTGGAGCTACAAATGACTGTATGGAAACAATTACTATGATACAGAAATATAGCTGTGCATAAGAGATCCCTTACCCTTCTGGCGTGGTTTTCTGTTTGGGTATTCCTATTCTCTGGAAAGTACTGCAGTTGTGCTAAGAGCCTGCTATTATCTTATTCTGGAAATATATGGTATAAGATTATATGATTTAGTCATGTTTACACAGCTGATGGAATGAAATTGGCATTATGTTATATGAGCTGCTTTTAATTCTCTATAGAATTTTCCTTTTATTGATGTTGTACTGGCTCTTAACTTTTAGTGAATAGAAATTATCTTTTGACAAAACTGTTTTGTGCTGCAAATTTATTGCCTGGATACTCCATGCTGTGGAACAACTAATAGTCTCATCTAACTTTCTGTATGCATCTTGATTTAATTGTAAGTATCAAGTAAATCTTGACCAAACACTTTTTCTCTAGGGCCTCTGAAAAATCAATGGAGCAAAAGAAAATGGCAGAGCAGGAATTGCTTATGAAAGGGCCAGGAACTTTTCCATTGGAGAGGCTATTAGCCATATTTCAGTGTATAACGTCTTTGGCAGAAGATTCGCTTGATGAAGAAGGAAGTGATGAGCTAACAATTGAAGGAGGGAGTGGTGGACTCATGTCTGATGTTCTATTGCAACTGTCCAGTCTATGCAATGCTAATTTTATCATTAAAGGAGGAAGCTGTCCATTAGAGGGGTCAACTCGATATCGTACTGCAGTAAGTGAAGATTTAGCTTTAAAGGTAGTCTCTTCAACATCTGTCTTGTAATTTTACAAGAACTTTTTATCTAGGTTGTTATGATCTTTACTCCCTTTACATATCTAGTTATGCTGTGTATATACAAATCTTAGTCTATTCCAACCGTATGCAGGTGGCCAGGAGCCTTAAGTTCCCTTTATCAAAATACTTATACAGGAGATGATCTTGATGCAAAGAGATGCTTTCATATCATCATTTCAATTTTTCTGTCTCGACTGATTACGGAGGGGCATCTGGAAATTTGAAGGTGATAATTCCTGTTTAACATGCTTCTATTGTGAAGCATGGTATGTGAATATCAAGTTTGTTAACCTAATGTCAGTGGCACCAAATGAATGAATTGCCACTAGTAGTCCATCGCAGTCTGAACTTGCAAAGGCATTTGCAGAGGAATACTGTTTAGATCTGAGAGAAAATCAGTTTCTGAACAGTCAATAGTTGTATCTTGCTATTAGTTTTCTATGTTACCATTATGATTATTTAGGGCTCTAAGATGCAAATATTCTCTTTTAATTTTCTGAACTCTGTTTCCTTGAACTCGTTGGTTCTCTAATTTTCTTGTTTTTAAAGTTTCTTGCCTTGTGTTTAAGGTTCTCATGACATTCCCTAGCAAATAATGGGGTAGAAGATGTGATTGCACTGTGGTTCCCTTGTGTTCTTTTGTTTCTCCATTTGTTTTGATGAACATTTTTGCACCCTGAAAAAAGTGGTTCTTGAATGAATGCAAACGACAACTAGCATACAATGTGAAAAAGCTTAAGCACCAAAATCTCTAGAAGCCTACAACCAGAAAATGGCTTTCGGAATCTAATTGTGAATAATCAATCTCTCTCACATGGAAATGGACTGTCGACACCCTCTTTTGCCATCCATTAATTAGTCTATAGACTCCATCAGGGCATTCGTAATCAACTTTCCATGCACGTGCTGATGCTATACAGGAAATAACTACACAGACAGAAAACATTCAAAGAAGGAAGAAAAAAAAAAAACACCCAAACACATCAAAGTGAATGATTTTGGTATTTTTTTTGTCAACAGTTTCTCAGACGGCAGAATTTGGAATCAGAATATTGACCAATATTGCCTATAGACAGACTATAGGTTTAGAATAGGTCAAGAAACCTAACTACTCCCAACCATATTGGGCCGTCCACCTAAATTTAGCCAACCTCTCTTAAATATTTTTTCCCTGGCCCTCAGTTTTCCAATGGAAGCCATAGTCTTTACTCCTAGGAAAACTTTGGGGATAGCCTAACAAAATTCCAGCAATATTTTAAGTTTTTTTTTTTTTTTTAATTTAAAGTTATCAAGAATTAAATATTGGTTATTAAAATAAAGAGTTTAATATTGTACTAATAAATTAAGGGATTAATCTAAAAGGATTTTGTGACATTAATGTAAAAAGAGAAAGAAACTATGACTAATTAATTAGTTATATATCAACTTATTATCACATACTATTTTAAAAAAAATAATTAAAATGTTTTAGTAATCAAGTCAAATTCGGGTTTTGTAAGATTCTTAACTTCATTATCGAGGAGGTTTAAAACTTAAAAGCCGTTTAAAACATACCATAGAGTTTTAAGATATCCCGCCAAATACTTTATTATTTCTCAAAATTTTTAAACTAAAGTGTATAATGAAGAAGAAAAGAGAGAGAGACAAGTGTCAGATTCAATAAATTCGACCAACAAAATCCTATTCCCAGTTTTCTTTGCCCCCAATTCTTAAACTATGCCCACAGAAAGTGAATGAATCATATTCAATATTGCTCGACAGTTGACCCCATTGTATTCAATGTTCCCATCGATCAAACGAGCAACTTGTGGAATTGGTTAAAAGAAGAAAAAAATTAAAAAAAAAGTATATATCTATATATGTGTCTGTGTATAGTTTCACAGGTCCCCTCTACCATTTATACAAGTTATCTCCTTTTTATTTTCTTTAGTTAATTTTGCAACATGACCCAAAAAGATTAATAGATTTCAAAACAAAGATGGCAGGAAGAGCTATGTTTATATATTAATCTAAAATTAAAAGTTAATATTGTCTAGCAGGCAAGATAATATAGCCTTTGAGCTATATATATATATATATATATATATCCCATAATTACGTAGCCCTTAATATATCAACCACAAGATATAATTTAAGTGATAACACCAAGATTTTTACATATGATTTTGTACAGATTTCATATTGAAATTATTTATGCATGATGATCGAGATAAACATGAAATCAAGGTGGGAAATGAAACCTTTGGAGTATAAAAGGCCCTCTTCAATCATATTTCTTTCAAAAAAAGGAAAGAAAAAACAATCGAAAGCCACCTGTGCTCTCAGGTGTGTGTGCCGATATGCATTTGACTTTTTCTCATTTACCAGCAGGATATGTAGCACCGTAGCAGATATCAAAGGCAATGGGCACAACATTTTTTAACATACCAAGCATTTACAGAGACAGGGTCAAACTTGGATGATCGACTTTCAAGAATTTGTTTGTATTTTTTTTTATTTAACCGAACCTTGCAGGAACCGGATAAAGATTGTCTACACATACATACATGCTAGAGATATAAAAGGAGGACAAAAAAAACAAAAAGAGAAGAATTGAGAGGAATGTTAAAAATAAGGCATGCAGCTGCTGTAAGGGAGCGTTATAAATTGTTGGTGGTGGGTTGCTCACCCAACCCTAACCAAAGCCCACATGACTGAACCCATTTTCATTTATGACTCCCACTCTCCCTTCCCTTAAATTTATCACTATATATATATATATATATATATGTGTGTGTATATATATATATGAATCCCAGACACGAAACTACAACGACAACCCATAGCTATTAACCCTTTAAAAGACCAAAAAACAGACTGTGTTTATCTTTCGTGTTACTCGTTTGATTATTTTCTTTTTTAGCTTTTATTGTTGTTGTGGTTTTTTTTCTTCTTTTTCTGCTTCTCTCTGTCTTATAAGTTCCTCAACTAAACTCATTTAACTCTGTTCATTCAATGCTTGAATTAAAGACCCTCTTACCTTCCCTGCAAAAATTAGGTGAAAGAGAAAGAGAGAGAGAGAAAAGGTAGAGTTAATTTTGAGGTTTTGCTACTTTAAGTGAAAGGTTACGACTCTCTTGTTTTCTTCTCTTTTTTATTTGGTAAGCTTTAAGAAGTTTCAACGACCTCTTACCACATTTATGGTGGTGCATCTGATGGTTAGACGCTAGAGAGAAACGAAAAAAAAAGAAAGCAGAGATGGTGCAATTCAAGGGAACAGTCTGTCCTTATTAATTGCTTCTCATTATAATTTCACCTATAAATCCTCTTTCTATACTCCATTGTGTACTATCACTCACCTTTTTTCTTCTTCTTCTTTTCTCTTTATTCTTCATTTCCTTCTCTTTTTCAGATCCTCCGTAGCCCTCCATTTTTCCTTCCTGATGAAGCAGCTTTCATGTACGTAAAACAGAAAAACAAACCAAAACCCTCATTTTTTTTAATGTAAAAGTATCTCATTCAGGGTTTCAAGTTTTCACATTGCTTTTTTATTAATACCCATTTTAGAGGTAAGTTCCTGTTCTTCTTTCAACTTTTCCTGGGAAAAATAAAGTTTGTTTCTCGAGAAAATTTTTGTAGTAGGAGCGGGGTGGTTTTGTTATAGCTGTAACTATGGATATATCGACTGCTTTGCTCCTTTTGGCGGCTATTACAGCTTACCTACTGTGGTTCACGTTCATCTCACGGTCGCTGCGAGGTCCACGTGTCTGGCCTCTATTGGGTAGTCTTCCAGGCTTAATCGAGAACTGTGATCGCATGCATGACTGGATCTCGGACAACCTCCGCGCGTGCGGTGGTACGTACCAGACCTGCATTTGTGCTATACCCTTCTTGGCCCGGAAACAAGGTCTCGTGACGGTCACGTGCGACCCAAGGAATTTGGAGCACATACTCAAGACCCGTTTCGACAATTACCCCAAAGGTCCCACGTGGCAAGCTGTGTTCCATGATCTGCTCGGTCAAGGCATCTTCAACTCCGATGGTGACACGTGGCTCTTCCAAAGAAGGACTGCCGCACTGGAATTCACCACCAGGACTCTTCGCCAGGCCATGGCTCGATGGGTCAATAGAGCCATCAAGCTCCGTTTCAGCCCCATTCTTGAGAAAGCTCAAAACGATGGCGAGCCGGTTGATCTACAAGACGTATTGCTTCGGCTCACCTTTGATAACATTTGTGGGTTAGCTTTTGGAAAGGATCCACAAACATGCGCCCAAGGGTTACCAGAAAACGGCTTCGCTTCAGCTTTTGACCGAGCCACGGAAGCCTCTCTTCAAAGGTTTATTTTGCCAGAGGTTTTATGGAAGCTGAAGAGATGGATTCGTCTTGGCTTAGAAGCGAGTCTGAGCCGAAGCCTTGTCCACATGAACGAGTATTTATCCGACGTCATCAATTCACGTAAGCAAGAATTGCTGAGTCAGCAAAAAGTTGGGAACCCACACGACGATTTGCTCTCAAGATTCATGAGGAAAAAGGAATCCTACTCAGACGAGTTTCTCCAACACGTGGCACTCAATTTCATCCTAGCTGGACGTGACACGTCAGCCGTTGCTCTCAGCTGGTTCTTCTGGCTCGTCAGCCAACACCCAACAATTGAGGGCAAAATCCTACGTGAAATCTGCACTGTCCTAATTGAGACTCGTGGCGTTGACACGTCAACGTGGCTTGATGAGCCCTTGGGGTTCGAAGAAGCTGACCGATTGACATATCTCAAGGCAGCATTATCAGAAACACTAAGGCTCTACCCATCGGTGCCGGAGGATTCAAAGCATGTGGTGGCTGATGACATGTTGCCGGACGGAACATTTGTTCCGGCAGGGTCTTCGGTGACGTATTCTATATATTCAGTCGGGAGAATGAAGTCAACTTGGGGTGATGATTGTCTTGAGTTTCGTCCTGAGAGATGGTTATCAGTTGATGGAAAGGAATTTATCATGCATGACTCCTATAAATTCGTTGCATTCAATGCTGGGCCAAGAATATGTTTGGGGAAGGGTTTGGCTTATCTTCAAATGAAGTCGGTGGCGGCGGCGGTGCTGCTGAGGCATAAGCTGACTTTGGTGCCTGGCCACAAGGTGGAGCAAAAGATGTCACTGACTTTGTTTATGAAATATGGGCTTAAAGTAAACGTGCATGGGAGAGATTTGGGAGCAATTGTTGAAAAGATTATTAGTGAAGAGAACTCGCATGGTAAATGTAATGGTAAATTGTGAAAGGTAGCTGGGGAGGGGTTGTTTGTGTGTTGGTGGAATTAGGTGAGGATATTTAATTTAAAGCATGGTGGTGGTCGGGGAACTCACATTGGAGGCGCGTGAGGGGGCAGGCAAAGTTCAATTCTTTTGGTTTAATTTTTAATTTCGAGTAGGGAAGAACCTGAGGGGGTGGGAGTGGGGGCTATTGAGCAAGGAATAATGGTATACATGAGCGTGGAAGGACAAGGTTAATTTCACGGAGGAGGTTTGATTCATAACCATGGCAAAACTTTTACAAGCTTCATGATTCACGTGAGAGAGAGAGAGAGAGAGGCATTTATTACAAAATTTAATTCACTCTTGCTTTTCCTGTAGGGAGCCCTTTTGAAATTATTCTATTAAATTCTTTTATCTTCTTGTCTGTTTATAATATGTCTAGAGTTGGTTTTTGTTTTCAGTATTATTATAATTGATATTTTGTGTAAGCTTCTGTGATGACAAAATTGATCATGCGAATCTTGATTCAATGAAATAATTAAGTTTAATACTTTGAATATATATATTATTGACTGATGATTGAATTCATACATCATTGTTCATTGCTTTCCTTTTTCTCGCTTTTTTTTTTTTTTTGAACTAGGGTGACAGCATTATCCGTTTATAGGCCATAACAGGCCCACGTCTTCGCTTGAAGCGTGGCCCAAATGCTTCCCGACGAAAAGTACAAGTGCTACATGAAAGCAGTGTCATAAATGGATGCACCAACTTCTAATTATGACATCAATGATACATTTGAGGATTGCTGAGAATGACTTCTGCCTCTCCTACAATGCCATAAGGCCCACCGTGTTATCGAGCTATACTGCCGGATTTAGCGCCGGGCAATAGATTTGGATCATCAGCCAAAACATGGTTGTACTTCAAAGCACAGTCAGCAGTAGCATGTATGGAACAAACTTGAAGTTCGTTTGGCTGCTTTAGGAAGTTTGATATATGAATTATGATCCGTGAGCAACTAAGCATTTTATGGGCAAAGATGTTTCATGGGCTGCTACAAAATATTACCCATAAAATCATACACTAGAAACACTTAAATGAACTAAAAGAAGGAACTTTTGGCCATAAAACATTTTTCCGGCCAACTCAAATGTTTGTTTGAAGTGCACGGGGCCTTTTAACAACTTACAAGTTGGTAAAAAGATTTTAATCATGGGCGTGGCATTCAGCTGGGTTTCTTTCACTCACCTTGGAATGCCTGCTCCTATTGCTTTTGAAGGTCGTCCTCTTTTAGTTATGTAGGATTACATTCTTTCCTTGTATAATATTTTCCTAGTCGAGAACCTTCTCTCCAGTTGAAAATAAGTTCCAGACTAATGTGCCTATGATGTATAAGGCAACCGACACCTTAAACACATCATCCCAGGAGCCTGCAAATGTGAATAATAAACTTGATACGAGGAATTCAAGAATAAAATCAACATCAACAGAAGCTGAGCACAGTTTCAGTCATACCTCGTTGGAGTATGTAGCCAGTAGCAGCTGTACCAAAAACACCAGCCAGCACTCCGGCTGTGTTTGACAGTCCTAATAGAACTCCCTGTGATCGACATTACCAGCTTACTTTCAGAAAAAAGAAAAAAACCATTGGAGACAAGAAACATTATAGATTAAGGAAGTGTTTGGTATAAAAGATTATAATATGATAAAATAAAATGATATTATGAATAGGATTAGATTAATTAATGTCACCCTGTCTTGTGTTTGATGCGTGTAAAAGGATTATGATAAGATAATTTATTTATATGTCAAAATTATCTTTCCTCAAAGTTCATACAATTTAAATTATTAATGTGATTTTTTAAGGGTATAATAGAAAATATAAATTTAATTCTATGGATTAAAAATAATTTTCTTCACTTTGGGAGGATTGAATCATCATATACCAAGAGGATGATTAATCCTCCTAGTAATCCTATCTCTTTCTTGAGATACTAACCAACATAATAGAGGATGATTATCATTCTATCCTATCCATCATTCTATACACCAAACATGAACTAAGGGAATTATTTAAAGTAAACTGCATAGAGAATTTCTCTTACAGAAAAAGCCTCAATAATTATATTTATCTCGAGGGTGATCATAATTTCAATAATCAATCTGTTGTTATTAGTTATAGCTCTTATCAGACACATCAAACTGATTTTACCAATTATAATAATATGTGTTTGGAAATGTTGCTTGCACCTTTCATGGTTTTACAGAAATACTAATATATCACAAGTGCAGTAGAAGCAAAAAGTACTGAGATATCATAATCACAAGTGACATCTCCTTTAGTTATAAATTATAATGTATTTTAAGAAACTTACAGCATAACGTGGGCCAATGTCTTGGTGGTTGGAATAAAGACCAGACTGAGAGAATGCATCAGATCCCTGTGAAGAAAAAAGCATATACGGATCAATATTGCTGCCAGATTTGACAAATTAGTAAGTTGCATCTGACTTTATAACCTCAATAAAAACCAATTACCTAAGACAGGAGTTTTTATTTTTTATTTTTTTATTTTTTTTTTGGGGCGGTGGGGGGGGCGGAGGTTCAGTCTAAGGCATGAGTTTACTGTGCACACTGGTTTTTATATAAACTAAAGGGAAGTTTTGGCGGATAAGAAGCTCTCAATTGGAGAGGAATAAAAATGTTATGACAGTGCCACAAATCAAAGCTTAAGTGAAATTGAAATCAAACAACATGATACCTGACTACATGCCATGCAAAGCACCGCCAAAGCAGGTGTCCTGACATGGCTTAGCTGTGTAAGGAAGAAGGCCGGTCCAAGAAAACCTATGGATTGCATGATCTGCAAAATTAATAGGTTTCAGACATGATTACATAAAAGTAGTACGAATCAAGTAGCGTTGCCATCATTTGACCAACACTTTTACTGAACTACTAAATTCCTTTCATCTCATCTGGGAAGAAGTTCAGGTTGAAATGCCAAGAAAAAGTGTAAGACTTGCAGTGTATATATAAAAAGGCAGACTCCTGCTTGTAGTTTTGTGTTCATTCAATAAGTCGGTTAACCTTCGACATTTATAAAATTTATAGTATGGTACAAGTTGTTTGTGACACGATGAGGATATGATGCTTGCAGGAAAGATGAACTGGGGATTGAATTTAAATATGAACCAGAGGGGTTAGGTTATAACCAGAGTGATTAATTAAATACCAGAAGTTGGTGCTCTCAAGCATTTAATAAGCCTTTGGAATAAATTAAATTTTAAGAATCAAAGAATAATTAATTCTTGCCTTACGAACTGCTGTTATGGAAAGACCTTTGCTCACAAGTGTGTCTGCGATCCATCCTCCTATATTTGCAAAGGCAGCCATAGTCAACCACGGCAATACACAGAGGAGTCCAGATTCAGTGAGGTTGAACTTCAAAACCTGTGAGAACCACCATGGCTATCAAAAATAAACGAGAAGGCAAAATCAAGATTCAAATATAATTTTGCAGTTGCTAGCTTATATTTGTAAAAGGTTAATGGTAAGATAGATAAGCAACAGTAGTGAGAATGCAGCAATTAATAATCAGTAAATATAATCCCTAGCACTGCTGGACTGCATTTCTGGCAGGTTAAGGTGTATGCCATGGAAAGGCATGGGCTGCAACAGCAATACAGCCTGCACAGGAGCAGGGAGCCATTACACTGCATGACTCATATCCAGCAAGGCAATAAGTGCTAAACAGAGCCTGCCAATTCTCTTCACCTTAATACAAGTCAGTGCCAACATCTGATTTTCAGATTAATGAAGATAGCAAATGCAAGTGAAAATGTGAAGCAAAATAAAACCACGTCCTGTAGTTGATATAAACTGTAAAGTTGATATTTGTTCATTGAACCCTGTTTCAAATACCTGATTATAGTATGTAGGCATCCATGTCAAGAGAATAAAAGTTCCCCAATTATGGCAGAAGTGAGAGATTATGAGAGCCCAAACAGGGGCTTTCGATAATATTAATCGCCATGGAATGACCTTAACAGGTTCCTTTGATATGCTGCCTCCCATGATCAGTTTCTTTTCTTCTTTACTAAGCTCTGGGTCTTCCTTAGGGGAGCTATATGCCTAAGAAGCAATCATAAAGAGGCAGAAAGAATTTTCAAAGTGAGTACAAAGGAGGGACATCAATATGCAAGTACATTAATTCAATCACTGATTCAATCACTGCTTTTACACAGAATATCCAAAACTACTTGTTTAGAGTGTGTGATCCAATGTGAAAAAAGTAAGGTTGGAATCAAAAACTTTTAGTAATAATGGGAGCAGAAATGGCTGGCCTTCTAACATGTCTGATAGGACCATGCTATGAACAGGTTCAGTTTGTTTTGACATCATATCAAGCATCATTTATTCTAATCACTTACAAATGGTGAGTTCCAAAGGAGAGATTTCTATGTTGATTTTTTTTATATATTTTGAATAAAAGCTAAAGGAATCAGCAACCCACTTTTCTCAGCCATAATGCAAACCAGATGCTTCCAAGGGAGCCAAATGAGAAGAATACAGAGGGCCACCCAAACTTGTGGATTAAGATAGGAGATAAAGCCAGCCCAGTAACAGAACCAAGATACATGCCGCTGTATACAAGTGCAAGTGATCTACTTCTCTCTGACACTGGAATCCACTTAGAAAGTAGGTTGTTCATTGCTGGCATAGCCACACCCTGCAAAGAAAACATCAAACAGATGAGGATCCTTTACATTCTCTTTCTAGGAAGATGGGAAACTGTTGGGTAAGGAAGAATTGACAGAGATCAGATCAAATATGAATTATAACAAATTGAAAGTTATATGGAGTAATAATAGCATAAAAATCTAATCCATTAAACTTTATGAGAATTATTCGTATTCTTTTTCTGTCATTCTTTCATCAACTTCCAACTCATAAGTTAGTTAACATTTATAAAAAAAAACCTTCTACATTCTTAGCCAGTTTGTAAGGAAGAAAAAGCTGCATCAGTAAGCATGTGAATTTTGCAGGTAATTAGGTAGTTAAACACAAGCCAGTACAGGAAATTAAAAACCAACTAGCAAAGCAGGGCCAACCTCGCCAATTCCCATAAAAGCACGCATAATAAGCAAAAATGGAAGTCCAATTCTGGCAGCAATAGGTGTCAAAATTGTAGCTACTGACCACCAGATAACTCCAAAACCCAGGACAAGCTTTCCACCAAATTTATCTGCCCATATGCCTCCTAGAATCTATGTGATAAAAGAAAAGATCAGATTAAAAAGATTAGAAGAATTTCTAGCATCAACAAACACTGAATTGAAAACCACATAGATGTTAAAGTATGCAGCAAACTTAGAAGATTCGAATATGCATACATACTAGAAGCTAGACACATTATATGCTGACGTAATGGACATCCTAAACAGAAACTAAATAATACTGCATACTTTGAACATATTTGTCCCAGACCTGAGTGAGCAGGTAGCCCCAGAAAAAAGACGACTGAATCAAACCAACCGTTGCACTGTTCCAGTTAAACTCTTTTGACATAGGAAGTATTGCAATGCTCATGTTGACCTGCAAAAGGCATATATAAGATACAGCTCAGTCAGCATGCATGTAGAGAAGCATTGCCGTGCAATTGTTCATGAAGAGAATTACTCACACGGTCCATGTTGCATAAGAGAAATGCTGCAAAACAGAGCAGTACAATAACCCAGCGCTTTGGAAAATTTTGCCACCAAGGGACTGCTTCCTGCATATCTCTTTCAACCAGAACAGCTTCATTGGTTCCATCTGGAGAAGGCAAAGAGTCCACCTTCGCTTCTGTTATGTCATACTCCTCAGATTTATAGTAAGCACAAGTACTGTTTTTTCCTATTCTATCCTTGTCACCTGGCTCAAGCCAACCTCCGGGCAAGGGACTTGAAAAAGAATAGCATCCCAAACTTCCTCTACTTCCTTGTTGAGGATAAACTCTGTGAGACTTCTCACAATGGCGCAGTGACATTGAAGAAATAAGTTGTCTGCCATTAGGAGAAACTGACATAGGTTTCAAAGTCTTTTCATCTAAATAAACAGTAGTCCGAAGAGATGGGCCATATGAGCATCCAGATACAAATCCATTTATTGTTTGACTCCATAACTTTCGATAAAACATGTTCCCATGCACAACAGCAACAGCTGATCTCTCTCCCTTGTGAAGCAAGATGGCTTGCTCCCCTCCACATACTTTACCTGCCATCATCATAGTTATACTACAACTCACCTCCGAACTAACAAATTATGGAAATATTCACGATGCAAGGGATGCTTCAATTGTGTGCTAATTTAGCATAGAAATTGCCATAAATCATAATATGGACAATGAACCTAATAAGGAATCTCCAAATGGGAGAAATAAAGTAATTAAAATCCACGCTAGAGCCGTTGCGTATAATACACGTACATGATAGATAGAGGAGAATCACGGGACTACGCAGACAAGGCGGATTCCCCAAAGCTTATTAAACAAAATCGTCAAAGGAATCTAATTGCAGCATCATTTATAACTCCACGAGTTAACTTTGGAATACAAAATTAAACAGGAATATTGCATGCAACCAATTTTTCATCTAAATTTCATAAAATTTCAATGATTCCAGGGAATCTAAGCTACTCTTGTTCACTTCAAAGTAAAATACAAATCCAAATAGACCGTACTTTAAAAATAAATATAAAACATGATAACTTTTAAGGAAAAAAAAAAACATTAACCAGGAGCCAATAAATTAGGGAAAAATGCAAGTAATGTAAAAAATTGAAAATTCAAAAAATGGAGCTAAATATTAAGTTCAATAAACTATTGAAATCGTCTCCAAACAGGATTGCCATTCAATAGAGGACGTAAAACAATACCTGAACAGATAAAAGAACCGAAATTCCGATTGGAAATCAGACCGCCGATAGCCATTGCTGAATCACAAGTTTTACAGTGAAAGAGTCTGACGCTAAATAGCTAATTATACCATTTCAGTTCAAAAAGAAAGCTCAAAAATCTAGAAAACGACACCGTAATTAGCTCTTAGTGCCAACGTCCTCTGACGCTGAAACGGATAAACAGATGTTTCTTTCTCTTCTTTTTCTTCGATAGAAATTTGTTGTGGAGGTTTAATTTTTATTTTTATTTATTTTTTCAAAGCGGGAAAAATCTCAGTGGTTTTCATATACCGAAGCAAAGGAGGTCGAGAATGTGACACGCTGCATATCATCCTCTGAGAGATAAAAGGTCCGCAACGGCAAGCGACCGGATTAAGGAAATACCCCTCCATGCCATTCGAATTACTGCGGGATTTGTGTTGTAGTGATGGTAAATGAGTGGTTTTAAAGTGAGGTTTTTTGGGAATTGAGATGAGGAAAACTCAACGGTTGAGATATTTTGTGTTACGACAAAAGGAACGCCGGAAAAGGTCTTGAGGGGATACTAAAAGTAATGCGATTTTCAGTAATTATTTTTTTCTATTTTGAAAAAAATCATTCGTGGAATTTCGCATCGTGACAAGTGGAAATTGTTGCACCAAAAAACAAAAGAGTGGAAAATGAGATTTATAATGAAACTAAAAAAATTAGTGATAGAAATACTTTTTTTTTTTTTAAGATATTGTTTTGGGGAAAAAAATCGTGCAAAACATTCATGTGCAAAAGCCAAAAGTCACTTATTCGAAACAACAGCCTACTAGGGGAGCAAAAAAAACTTTAAACATACTATATCATTGCATTATGAAGATGTTAAATAATCCATCAGACACTACCAGAATTTACATTTAAAAAATCCGAAAGTCTAAAAAATTATACATTTAATAAATACTTCATAAACCCTCCGTGACATTTTTTTTAAATAATATCTCAACCCAAATTAGTTGTGACCTTAGAAAAATACCAAACTAATTATGCACCTAATTGTCCAAATCCAAATGTTCAAAGAAAATCCCTTATCACAACAAAATGCGACAAACCCAAATTATTTGTTGGCATTGTACATTGATTCAACCCTACCATCATTTCCCCCAAGCAACATATATTTATCCTTCCTAGTCAATCCAGTGCACTCAAACCCCAGGACATCACCCAACACCTTCTGCACATGATTCGCCACCTCAATCGGTGATTTCCCTCCGGTCTTCACCGTCATCTCATCCGGCAATCGGTCAAGGAAAGTGACCTCGTATGTTGGCATTGGATTCATGAAGAAAAAATAAGGGTCCCAAAATTTGACCCCTCTGACGGTTGTCCCGTAAAACATGTTCTGCTTGCAATTGACCGCCACGGGTACGATCCTATCGCTCATTCCTGCGAACAAAGCACTGAATCGCAATAAGAACTGCTCACGACACGTGGTCCCCTCTGGACACACCACGAGATCACCTTTTTGCAATAGTTGTGATATTCGGGCTGCATCAGCCACACGATCACGAGTTAAAGCAATGGCTGGGATTGGGGACAGGAACCTTGAGAGGCGGCTTACGCTGTATGTGACACACGAAACTTTGCGTCCGAGTGCGATGGCAATCACAACTGGATCAAGAACTGAACGGTGATTGCAAACGAAGAGATTGCCAGGGTTCCTAGGGGATGGTGGGGGTGGTCGCTTCCCACGAATCAGGAGGTGGATACCCATCATTTCGTATGTGTAGCGTACGATACGCACCGGTAAAGGTAGATTGAAGTAGACGCGAAAGATGGATAGGATGAAGCCAAATGGCAACCAAATGTAGGTGATCAAGGCATTGAGTGGGTCCGGGCGCTGGACAAAGCGACCATCGTGGAAGATAACGCGGCTCTTTAGACGATCGGGTGGTACTGGTGTAGCTGATTTGCTAGGGTGCACCATGTAGCCCTCCTGTTGAGAGACATTGACCAATAATTTATCACAATTCAGTTCCAATTTTCCATCAAAATTTGTAAATTATAAATGCGGTGAACCGGCCAGCAGCTAATTTTGCTGGCGGGCCGTTGACCGAAGTTAAGATTGTGGGTCCAAACGAATTCAATACGTGACCCTAACCTCAGTCGTTTACTCTCCGCTACTTCACTATAATTTGACTTAAGTAGTAGTAATTAACAATTTCTTGCACCAAAACAAAGATATAGGGATATTAATGAATAAAATATAGGCAGGGTAAAATAGTTTTTATTTTTATATTTATATTTAACTAATATTTAAATTTATTTATATTTTTATTTTCATAGATATTTAATGTGCATGGGGATCCATACCCATCATTTAAAAAAAATAAAAATTAAATTTTATTTCTTAATTTTTATCACATATATTTAGATATTTTTTATAAATATATATATTAATATATATTTTAAAAAAATATACTAATTCTAATTAATTTAGAATAATAATTTATATTATTTAATAAAAATTTTATTTATATATAAATATATAATATATATGTATGATATAAGTACGGATAGATATTATATTACTCATTTTAATTCAATATTCAATAAAAATTTAAAATCATCTCATTTTTTATGTCCATTATATAATATCTATAAAAAAAATTAAATTTTTTATTGAATATGGATAAAATTGATATTTTTAATAATATTTACTTTCTTGTGGGTAATTAAAGTGATTTAAGGGTGACAAATTAACGAAAGCAACGAGCTATTCAATATATTAATCAAGTTTACACCAACCTTAAATTTAATGATATAAATAAATATGTTTAGCAAGGTTATCACGTCAACTCTTCACTCCATACAATCTAAAGATTTTCTAAATTTTTCAGACATAATATAAATTAATGAAAACAAAGGTTTCTTAATTTCTCTCAAAATTAAGAATTAGTAATTAGTGATTAAGGAGACAAACCTTGCATATCGACATGAAATCTTGATCGGATTCACGGTCTCCGATTCCAATATCCGGTGATTCGTCACCAAACTCCTTTAAAATGGCCAATCTCTTCAACATTCCTACTAAAACCCCGGGTTTCTTTACAAACCCAGTCGCCTTCTTTGTTTTAGGGTTCACTTCAATTTCTGTGCCTAAGACCTTATCTCCGCCGAGAAAATCCTTCACAAACGGCTCCACCATGAGCGTTGGATTCGCCGTCACCACTACTTTCCTCTTGCATCTGTCAAATACCTCGAAACTTTCCTTCCTCACATTCGCAGCATAAAATCTATCCAAAATCATTAACCAAAAAAGAAAAAACTCAGTAACTTAAGCAGAAAGCAATTCTAAGAGCTTAAGCAAAGAATAAAGTTTGATCATCTTTAAAAAGGTTAAGGTTCGAATCTCTTTTGCTTGTGATACCTGGGAAGAACAGCGCGGGAGACGAGTTCGATGTCGCGGATCTTGAGTCCAGCGAAGGAGATAAAAATGAGGATTTGGATACCAATAGCTTCGGAAATGAAAAGATAAGAAACAAGGACCAGAGGCAGAGAAAGAAGAAGGATAAGACCTCGAAGTAGGCTTCCCGCTTCGACGGCGATAAGCATGAAATAAGGAAAAGAGCTTCGAGAGATTAAAAGCGTGCCGTCGAGGTCGGCGGCGATCGATTCGTAAGTCGAACCGTGGCATTGGGTTATAGACGGAAAGCTTCGCCCCGCTTTCAGTGGAGCCATTTTTTTTCTCTTTTAATTTTTCTGTTTTACTCGGCTTTGAATTTTGAGAAGAAGATGCGTTGTGGGAGATGAGAGGGAACGTTGTGCTTTAAAAATGGCAGTCGAAGTGTAAAATTACGAGAACGAGTCTAAGATTATGGTGGGACTGGGTCGGACTTCAGAGACGCAAAGTTCCACTGAAGGGACTAATATGCCCTTTTATTCACAATCATATAATAAAATTTAAGTAAAATCATATAATAAAAATAAATCTCGAATAAAAATTTAATAATTATATAATTATTTAATATTTTATTATAATAAATTAAATTTTAAAATTTTTTTATTACAAATCATTTTAAACCTTAAACAACTATTTACATCTAATTAAACTCTTGAATATATATTTCTAACCCAACTAAACTCTTAACTAAATGAAAATTGATGTTGACAATTAATCGATTTTTATTTAATAAAGATTCAATTGATGAAAATAAATATTTGAGAATTTAATTGATTATAATAAAAAATAAAAATTTGGATGATTATTAAATTTTTATTTGATTTTTTTTACCCTTTAATCTAAAATTTAATGTAGTTTCTTGAATGTATATTTTAACATCTTTATTTAAAATTGAAGTAATTCATAAATGGTTCTTAAATTATATTAAAATATTTAATATAATATATAAATTTAAAAAATTTTAATGTAATTTAAAATATAAATTTATTAACTAATATGAAACTTATTTTTAATATAATTAATTTTAAATGATGATACATGATAAATAAATAAATTTTTAAATATCATATTAATTAATACATACATGATTTAAATATCATATTAAAAAATCTTAAAATTTAAATATTATACAAAATATTTTCATTATAATTGTCATTCATTATATTAATCTTTTAAAATTAAAAGTAAACAACAACTTTTAAAACCGGTAGTTATTTTTTATTTTCTTCTAGGAACCATTTGTTCCAGGCTGCGTTGAGTTGATCTGGTAAATTATGCTTCAAATTAGATATTTTTAGATCAAAGATTGGTGGCCCCACAGGACAAGAATTTCACCTATATTTCGTCATTACAAGATAAGCATCAACTCTTGTCTGTTGCAACCAATAAAAAAGCTTCCTTTTTTTTTTTTTTTTTTTTGCTTTTCAATACTTGGCAAAACGAATTGCTTTGAGCTTTAGAGTGAATAAATTCCCATGATGGAAGGGACCAATAACTTCACCAGTAAAATAGGTTCATGTACGGATGCAAAGGTTTGGCCAGAGGGAGGTTAACAGAAAGCAGGTTGAAGTGATAAAGAAAGAGAAAAGTTGCTTATAGTAGCAAGCCAAGCAACTTTATACACATGACGATCCTTTCCCCAACTTCAATCTAAATACCACAATAAGGTCAAAATACATACCATTAAAATTTAAACACATAGTACTGGATAATGAGTAAAAACCATTGTTTCAAGCTCTGGCCTTGAATGGGATCGCTCGGATGACAATTTGGTGGTATAATGCAGCGAGTGCAGCCCCAATGAAGGGTCCAACCCAGAAGATCCACTGAGAACGGAATAAATTTCTCATTATGAAATGCAAAATATTATGTGAAGCGTGAATCAAAGAAAAGAATATATGTCAATGTGGTTATTTTTTAACTTACATGGTCATCCCAAGCATGGTCCCTATTATAGATGATGGCTGCTCCAAGGCTCCTGGCAGGATTAATGCCTGTTCCTGTGATGGGGATGGTTGCCAAGTGAACCAAGAACACCGCAAAGCCAATAGGCAGTGGTGCCAATATCTGCAATGTCATACAGAGAAATGAAAAGGATCAAAAGATGTCAACAACCAGCCTTCTCAAGCAAACTAAAATAGGAAAACAAAGGAACAGCAAAGAAATACTCACAGGGACATGAGAGTCTCTGGCATTTCTCTTGGCATCAGTTGCTGAGAAAACAGTGTAAACAAGCACAAATGTACCAACAATCTCAGCTCCGAGGCCATCCCCCTTGGTATAACCATGGTTCACGACGTTGGCTCCACCACCCAACACCTCATACCTTGATGGCTGGAATCCTTTCACAACCCCAGCACCACATATTGCGCCAAGGCATTGCATTACAATGTAGAAAATGGCTCTGCTCAAAGAGAGCTTCCTCCCCAAGAAGAGACCAAACGTCACAGCTGGGTTGATGTGTCCCCCTATTCAGAGCACGAAGAAGAAAAAAGTCAATAAAAATTACCAGAAAATTCCGAAAAATGTTTCATAACAGTATAAGAATAAGACCTCTGTTTAATTACTAGACAAAAGGTTAAGATTTTCCATTGTGTTGGGGCCTAAGCGAAGCCTAACCTCCATTCTATGACCCAAATGAACTTACCATCACTATGACTATGAGAGTTTGACTCACCGGAGATTTTGCTTGCTTCCATTTTTAACTTTGTAAAATCATGACTATATAACAAAAGGAACCAATTTTTTTCTTCCTTCCGTTTCTCTCAACAATTAAAGAGATTCATTTGAAATCACGGAGGCTCGAACAGAACAAAACCTGAGACTGAAAGTGAAGCGAGAACCTAAATTTTTTTTTCTGGTCTAAGTCTTTCCCTCATTTCTTTCGGCAACCGACAATGTTCAAGGAAGTGGCCAATAAATTATACAATTTTATATCAAAATGATCAAACCCAAAAAACAAGTTTCAATTTTTTTGCCCGAAAACCAAATAACGTCTGAAGAAACAAGTTAAATGCAAGAAAAAATTTTGCTTGGTAAGAATTTTTTTCTTTATTTGAAAAAAAAAATCACCTATACTAAAAAAAGAGACAAAGAGATAAGTGATCTGACAAACCTGAGATACCAGCAGTGCAGTAAACAAGGGCAAAGATCATGCCACCAAAGGCCCATGCAATGCCTTGGATACCAACGCTGGCACACTTAGAAGGTGCCCTCTTAACACCCATGACAGTCAAGACTGTGATGTAAAGGAACAAGAAAGTTGCTACAAACTCAGCAATCCCAGCTCTCCAAAAAGACCATGACCGGAGCTCACCAGACTCAAACAGTGGAGCTGGTGGTGGCTCCTTGTAGTCCTTGTCTGTCTGTGCTGATGTCCCTATAGGTTGCCTCTCTGAGTACTTGTTGGCTCCCAACTTAACATCCTCTTCTTTGCCTTCCATTTATGTTTTTTTCTCTAAAACTGCGGCTTCTTTTTTTTCTCTGGGTAATGGAGAAACAACCAGGAGCTTGATGGAGTGCGAGTAGGGTTGAAGGTTCTGAAAAAGGTTGTGAGAGTAAAGTCATTTATAGAAGGCTGACACAGAACCAATGAGTAGTAACCAGCTGTTGATTAAAAACATTTGAAAATTTTCCGTTTATTAGCTTTTTTTTTTGGTTAATGAAAAATCTTTATTATATTATTTTTTGGGGTCAGAGAAAATCTTTATGTACCAACTACAAAGAGTGTTTATGAAAATAATTAATTTATTTCGGGCCAAAAAAACCAGAAAATGCACTTTTTTTTTTTTTCTGTGGGTTAATGAAGAGATGTTTTGTGGAAAGTGCCAAAATGTAAGCAGAAAAGGTCTGTCGCGATGTCAGGATGTTGGGCTCATCTTATCTTTTTTCCCCATAATTAGCAAATTAAAAAAAAAAAAGCTCTTAGAGAACGACGTCGTATTCATGAGCCCTGATGACTCATGACAACCAGAGAAATAAGCGAGGAATTTGCTTGTGTTGGTTGCTTGCGTGTGGATGAGAAGATTTGGCCGGGAGACCGTTGAGAACGTGACAGACCGTTTAGTCAGTCATGCAATTTCGCAACGGCTACACACTCTAATTTGGAAGGACCAAATTGAACTGTAGTTCATTTAAGATTAATATCAATGAGGGATCTATTAATAAGATTAAAAATTAAGATGAACAAAGTAGTAATTTCCGAGACATTTTTTTGATTAAAAGGAAAAGAATCTTATCGTTTTAAAGAAAGGAAAAAGATAAAAACAAAAGGACTTAACGTTACGTCTTCAGCTTGCAAGGTAACTTTAAACTTGGGTGTGGAATAATTGCAGTGCCTTTCACGACAATGGTGAGAATGGCAGGTGGTAGGGACATGTGACCTAAGTCACCAAACCAACCCATTCCTCATGGGGCTGGCTGATTGGGGCCCCGGGGTGCATCATCACTTCTTGGACCCTTTCTTCCTTGAGCCGAACTTCAAATTTGTCCTCAAATTAGCATCGCACAATTCACTTGCGTGCACTAGAGGGAAGAAAAATAGAAAAAATCAAAATTTTATTTAAAATTATAATATTCAATTTGAATTGAATCGATTTTTTTAATTTAGTTTAGTTTAAAATTGGATATTGAATATATGTATATATTAAATTAAAATTAAAATTTAAATCAAAATAAAAAAATAAATTAAATCAAATTATATATTTTTATTAATTTTAATATATTTTAAAATTTTATAAAATAAAAATAAATATTTTATAAATAAATTTATTTAAATATATTAAAATTTTATTAAAAGAATATATAAAAATTTAAATTTTAAATTTTAAAATTGATGAACTAAACTAAATTGAAATTTTTAATTCAGATCAAATGTATTTAAAAAAAAAATTCAATTTGAAATTAAATTTGAAAATTTTCTAATAATATGTATTAAACAAAAACAAACCGAATCCAATGTTCCCAATCACCGGTAGTGTGCGCACTCTACGCAAATGTAACCTGATGAGAACTGCGGAGGCCCCAGTCCAAATCATGTTCACGCACCTTCCCGTGAGCCGTCCAACTGTCATAATCTGGTGGATAAAATTGTCATACAGTTCCCTTCACTTGCCTTGTAAGCAAATACCGACCTAGGTCCCACTCATAGATGAATAATTCAATGTGCATGTTTGAGCCAGATGTGTAAGTTTGAATTAGACGGTTAACTTAAAATTTTTTATAAGAACTTTAAATTATTTTTTAAATAATATTTGATATTATTTTTAAAAACATTATGATAATTTAATGATTAAAGTAATTTTAATATTAAGTTAATTTTATCGCTCATTATTTAAAACTCATTTATTTTATTAACAATCATTAAATTTTTAATTAGAAATTATTTTATTTTAATACTAAATAATAATATATATTGTAATATTTAAAAGTTAATAATTTTAATATTTTTAAAGATAATAAATTATAAAATATTAATAATGTTTTGTTTATTACATAATAAAATGTAATTAAATTATTAAATTATCAGATATTTTTGTTTCTATTAAAATAAATTTTAAAAATTAAAAAACGCATAGATTATTTTTTAATTATTGCATTGAATATTAGTTTCAAAATATCAAAAGTTTACATTGAATTAATTTGTTGAAATTATGGGCTATTTTGCATTCATTTACTAAAAAATTTTTCGTTAAAAGATACAGATTACGTTTTTAGAGAAATATATATTATTTGTTCGTACCAATAATAAAATTTGTATATAATTTTTATTAAATATCTACTCTAAAATAATTTTTGCCAATAAAAAGTACCTTGAAATATAAGCAACAATCTAATCTAATATATATAAAGTAAATATCGGTGTAGTATATTTATTTCAATATAGAAATTTTTGTCAGGCAACATCAAACGGCCCATTTCTGGTCAAATTTAAAATGTGTCGAGCCTTGTAATTTCAAGATTAAATTGGATTGCTTTGTATCAACCTAAAACCTCACTGTCTGTATCAAACCAAATACTTATGTTTTTCCTTGTAATAAACTTTTCATAGTGACTTAGGTTCCAGTTTCATCCCAAAGCTTAAAACAAAGTTATGTATAAATTCGATGATTTATATATTTATGTAATATAAAATATTAAAATTTATATATTCGTATGATATTTTATATTAAAATTTCGTATTATAATTTATATTAATATAAAAATATAAATATATTTTTTATTTTATTATATTTATATATAATTATTATTAAAATTTTAAATTATATTATATTTTAAAATATTAAATTTAATTTCGGATTAACATAGAATTCAACTGCTTCGTTACAAATGGTCTCACAGAATAAAACTTGCCTTGGCTCGATTCAAATACGACAAAAATGCAGGCCTAGACCAATTACATTTCTACGGCCCGGGACTCTCCTCGAAGGCAAGCGCAGTTTCAAAAAGCCCACTAACGAAAAAAGAAATACATGTAATTATATTACAAAAAATGGTTTATTATATGTTTTCATGCAAGAAATTTCCATTCACTTGGTTATAGGCCCACAGGATCATTAGGCAAATGACAAGTACAGGCAGGTTCGTTGCTTTGGTTTCTCTTAAGACGATGCCTTCTGTTTATTTTGTCATATTTCTTTGCATCGAGACCAACTAGGTTCCCACGTCATCAATTTTGGTTGGTTCGTTTGCATCCAAAATCAACGTCTTTACCAGATTTGATGGTGACAGGCAAGCACAGGCAGCAGGCTTATACTTAACTAGCTCGGTCGAGGTCTAGGTTCATTGTACTATAACCTTAACTAAGTGATGATTTTAAGGCTAATGTTTTCCCTAGGCTATATACGTGTTTGTGCCTACGCTACATTACATTCCATGGTGATTGGTTATTGAAAGTTGACACCCCAACTTACCTGATTCTTTGATTTGATTTTAGTACTTTATTTATATTATCATTCACCTCTTCAAGGGTTAATTATACTTTTGAAATTTAAATTTTAGAAAAATATATAAATTAGTATTTAAAAATAAAATGTATAATTTATTTTTTGAATTTTTAAATAACGTATAACTTTAATCAAAATTCTGATGCCATTAATTTGTTTATATGTTTTTAAATTAAAATTTAATATAATTTAATTATATGTATATTATTTGTTAAATAAAAATATTAAATATTTTGTAAAAATTATTAGACACATAGCACGTACAAGGCTACAAGAAAATAAGTCGTGAATACTTGAATATTTTGATAACTTTTGAACTTTTTGTAACTTTCTCATTGTATAATTGATTAAAATAATTTGAACATTCGAATATTAATAAAATGATTTTAATATTTGTTGCAAATGCCTTTTTCTTTAATGATTTTTTTTATCTCAACTAATTATAATATGTAAAATAGATGAATCAAAATGCCTTCAATATATAATAAAATTTTATTCGATCTTATTTTACACTAATAAAACAAAACAACTAAATAATCGTTGGTAATAACAAAAATAAATTGTCTTCACCAGAGTTTTTTACAACAAACGATGTTAGAGAAACTTATCTTTTATTGATAAAGGATTTGAAAAAATAAGAGAGTTACTATTTAATCAGGTTTTGTTGTACAAATGAACTCACATTAATTTATATTTATATAGATTAAATTTTAAAATTATAATTATTTGATTATATAGTTTTAATAAAATATTACTTAATTTTTTATTAGAATTAATAATTTTGAAATTTTACAAAAATATTTATTTGTTTAAATAATTAACGATAAATCGTTTTCCACATTTATGAAAATTATATTTTTATACAAGGCAATCGATTTTATCTACAAGGCAATGTATTGCCCATTTGTATTTCAATTTTCATAATACTTTCAAAGGAAAACAATATGCTTCTTTCAAATTTCAGAATGGTTTCCCATTCGACTTCTTATAAGGCAATCGACTTTTTTTTATTAGTAGTTGTTTGTTATAATCTCAAATAATTTTCTTAAAAACTATTAAACAATTATAATTGATTCCATTTAAATTTGAAATGATTTGATTCATACAGCAGTCACTTGCTCTAAATTGACAATCAATTGCTATTTAATACCAAATTTAAATAGTTTTATATTTATCAAAACAATTAACTTAAAATGTCGGACAATCAAATATTTTGAACATAACAGTCGATTACTTACATCTATAATATTTTTAATATGATTATTTAAAGTTTAGAATCATGTTATTAATCTTTGGAACCATGCTTTAAGTTATTTATTAACTTAACATGATTTTTTTTTTATTAAGTTATTACTTAATCATATATTTATATTTTAAAAATATTTTTTAACAAAAATATCACATAGATATCATGTGGACACTACATGACAAACAATAATTGATCATATTTCATAATTTTGCAATTTAAGTAAAAAATATATATTTAATTTTTACCAAAAATATTGATATAATATGTGATAAATTTATAACTTAATAATATTTGTCATATCACATATATAAGTTAATATAAATAGTGATATTATAGTTTGGATTAATATAATATATAATTTAAAAATTTATGATATAAAATATATATTTTTTATTTAGATGATAATTTATATATATTTTTTCAAAATTTAGATAAAAAATATAATTAACTTCTATAAGAAATCCCTTAACCAAAAAATTATCCCATAACTTTTATTGATAATGTAAAATTTTATCACTCCCGGAAGCGGGTCGACGGCTAGTTTTATCAACAAAAAATATTAATATTTCTTGTTTTGGACATGTGGAGTTAGTTTTTCGGAGACAAGTGCATATTTCCAGGGTATCCGAGCGGAAATGGAAAAAATAAGAAACAAAAAGAAAAGAAAGAGCCTAACCCTAACAAACTCTAATAGGGTTCACTTGTGTGCGTGCGGTGACGTTTTATCGGATCCTCGGCTCGTCCAAAGACAGCGACGCGGCGCGCACCTTGAGCACAGAAAATCTTCCCCCTTTTCTTTTACTTTCTGCGATTTACAATATTTATTTGTACTTTCCAAAATTGAAAATCACTAGAAAATATATACATAAAAATAAAAAAAAAACTCTATTTTCCTCTCTCTCTCTGTTTCTCTCTCATTTATCCATTCTCAGTTCGCCGACAACCGCCATATCTCAGCAGTTCGAAAGCTCTGCAATAACCGCTGCCTTTTTTCAGAGGTACAATCGGAATAACGCCGTCTTGCTTATAAATTGAAAAAATAAATGAATTTCCGTATATTAAGCATTAAAAAAAGAAAAGTGAAGATCGTTTTTCTACTTATCTGTAAAGATTCACTTTCTCGAATCATTCTTTCATTGTTTTGTTTCTTTATTGGCTCGATTCACGACGGAAATGTGTTTCATTTTCGTATTTTTGATTAAAATTTTTGTTCAATTTATGCGTATCTGATGAATTAGCTGCTCGACTCTGTGCGCTAGGTAGGGTTAGGTTTTTTATTTGTTTTGCTAATTAATTTCTGTTGATTTGATGCTCTATGTGTGTTTATTTGTTAAAAAGATGTATGGTTGCTGAGAAATCGAATGGAAGTCATAAGGCAGAAAAAGTATAGGAAAATGAAAGAAATTTAAAATGAATTATAAGGTCTTTTTTGGTTGTATGGATATTAACATAATACATGCATGAAATTAGGTTAGCGATTTGTCTGCTTGACATTGAATTTATTATCAGTTAAAAAAACTGTAAGAACGAAAAAAGATGGCTCCATTATCTTGTATTTTGCCAAAAGCTTGGCAGATGAAAATTTTGCTGCCAGCTGGTGGTTCGGTAGTTCTAACTGTTGACTGACCTAGCTTTTTCTTCAGGGTAACTATTTAAGTTACAATTAAGTTGAATATCTCGCTTTAAAAGTGAAATAGATAAATTTTATAAGTTTCTAAAATGGTAATGGAGATGAAATGATTGTAATCTCAGAAATAATATTTGGAAGTAATTGGATTCTTGAATCTTTGGAGGTTGGGTCAAATAGTGACTAATGAGAGAATGATGGTAATTTAGGAAAAAGGTAGATTTTAGGGAGTACAGTTGTGGAAATCAGTGGCAACGTCAACAGGTGTTTAAGATTTATTATCCACAAACGACAAAGACGAGTGGAATGTGGGGTGAGGTACCGATAAGATACACGTTGACTGTGGCAGAAGAATTTCATTTAGCTCGTTTTTCTCTTGAGGTGCAGGGCTAAAGTGTAGTGAAAAGAAACTTACTAGTTTTATATCAACATTGGGGCATTACTACTTAACTTGGGAGTGTCTAATTGATAACTTTAATTTACTGGACACGCTGACTTTGGCAGAAGAATTTCATAGCTCGTTTTACTTGTGAGGTGTAGGGTCAAAGTTTAATGAAAAGAAACTTCCTATTTTTATATCAACAGTGGGGCATTACTACATAACTTGGAGCGTCTAATTGATAACTTTAATTCACTGGAGAAGTGTATAACAAGAAGTGTCAGGCTCTTCTGAGAACTGAAATTTGTATGTTGATTTCTTATGACATAATCATTATGCCATGAGTGCTGCTTGTCCCGCTGCACTGAAATTATCTGTATGCTTAATGGTTGTGAGTCATTAGGTCTTGGATAGGCAAGTATTGCCTTGTAGAAATTGGGGAGAGAAAGTGTGATGGAGCAAGCATTTCAGGATAAGCTTTAGCAAGAGCTTTTTTTTTTTACTTAGTTGGGGTTTTCTAGTGGATAGTTAGACTCATTCACCGAACAGAATCAGTTGTTACCATTTTAGGCTTTACCTTCTGGTGGAGTTGGATTGTGGAATTAACTTTTGAAATTTCATCTTCCTGTTAGAATGTTTGGTTCTATAAAGCAAATTCTGTAGAAGGAAAGAGGTTTTTTTATGGTGAAAGAAAGGTTGAGATAGTCCTGGTAAGACTTAAATTTTTAACTACTATACTATTTTCTCCTGCCATATCAGGTATCTTATGTTTTCTTTTGACTCTGATGTTAGTGGTTCCAGCAATAGGATTCATGATTATGAGAGATCCTAGTTTTTGTGTTGACAGTCCAAGATATTTTCCATTCTGAACAGTTTTAGTAGAGAATATAAACCTAACTGAAAAATACATAGAATTAATTAAAAAATGTGATTGGCAGAGTCAATTTATTTAAGTTATGGGGACACCATTCATGATATTTACTGTAGGAGCTTAGGTGTATTTACCTTCTCTTGCAACCTGTTTATGTAATTAACTGCAGAAACTTGACTATAATTTGATATGGTTGTTTATTTATGCAGTTATTCTACTTAAGCTGAAAGATCTGTCTGTAACTTGCTGCATATCTTTTGTATTGTTTCTGGTTGAACAGCTTCATGTTGCAGCTTTAAGTAGCTGTTGAGATCTACTTCCAAAATCAATGTTCGTGCAAGTGGGAAATTTGTCATTGATAACTGTACTGTGGGAAACCTATTACAGGTTTGAGAGTCTCTGTCACTTAAGAAGTGCAAAGCTGTTGCTTGAGCTACTGTATTGAAGCTTTTGATTGCAAGAGAAGTGGGGTATACAACTTATATTACAAGAAGCTTTACATAAATACCTTTCTTGGTGTTTCAAATTTACTTTCAAATGTCTGAGGTTGATATGGCCATCATTAAACCTGAGGTAAGTTATTCTGAGTCCGTTAAAATTTATAGAGTGTTGTCTTTCCGTTGATCATAATGAATTACATCCTCATTTCTATTCACTTCGATTACGTTTTAGTTTAATTAATCATTATTATGTAGATCAAAAGAGGGCAGTTTCTTTCATATTCTTCAGGGTTTCTTTTGGTAGTATAAGAGGCATATTTTTCAGGGTTACAAGCATTTATTTAGCAACCTAGGTAATTAGCAAAATATTTAGCTCTGGTTTGAGATGGACCTAAATATTGTGCTGTGAGCAAATTTTGTTTGTTTGTATTTTTAACATTTACGTGCATAGCTTCCTTGATTTTCTTGACCTATGAAGTGTGAGTTAGGCTAGATGGACTCCCCATTGGTATAATGTCCTAAGCAGGATGATGAATGAAAACTAAGTTTCTGTCTGGTGAAATTTGGGCTTTACATAGTTTGCTAAGTAGGGTTCAAGGAGGACCCAAAAATATTTATAGTTCAAGTGTTCGATGGATGGTATAGGTAACTTAACTCAGATGGGTAAGAAGGTAGGATAGGTTTGACCGTTTAGCTGTTAAAAGGTATAGAATTTCTTGTAAAAGTTTGTAATGCTGACAATTATACTTAAGTGGTTTGGTTTGTTTTCGAGTTTATCTTTAAGTTTTGATTCTTAAGAATTGTTGGAATTGTTCTCAGCTGATGAAGTCTTATATTTGGCTTCAAACTGCTGATGGCTCAATCCAACAAGTGGAACAGGAGGTTGCTATGTTTTGTCCCATGATATGTCATGAAGTGATACAAAAGAGCATGGGTTCCTCCAAGAATAATGCAATATCTCTTCCTCAGCGAGTCAATCCTGCCATGTTAAGCCTAATTCTTGATTATTGCCGGTTTCATCAAGTGTCTGGTCGCTCTAACAAGGTAGATTCAACATATTTCTCAATTAGCATTTGCCTCTTATGTTTGATGTTTTCCTCTTGCTTTCTTTAATAGATGTTTAATCTTTCTGGAGTCGCAAAAATGGAGCCATTTCTTTTTTCCATTCTTTAGGTATAGAATGGCTTTCTTTGTATATTTTATTTCTTTTGTCACTTTCTTTTTTGCAAAAAGAAAAAAATGTGTTTATAGGATATTCAGTTCCATATAGCAAACTGACTTCCTCTTCTCCTTCCTTTGCGTGTTTGTTTTTTCTGTTTGAAGGAGCGCAAGTCTTTTGACGAAAGGTTTATCCGAATGGACACAAAGAGGCTCTGTGAGTTGACATCTGCTGCTGATAGCCTTCAGTTAAAGCCTCTAGTTGATCTTACTAGTCGTGCCCTTGCACGAATTATTGAGGGGAAATCCCCTGAGGAGATACGTGAGATATTTCATTTACCTGATGATCTTACTGAGGTGTCTGGTTTTAGTCGAAATTTCTTTATTTATTATGTCCATTCTCTCAATCTCTTTTCTTATATTTACGGCTTATTTTGTTGGTTTAGGAAGAAAAGTTGGAGCCTCTAAAAAACACAACTGATGACCCACGCATTCGATTGTTGAATAGATTGTATGCAAAAAAGAGGAAGGAACTAAAAGAGAGGGAGAAACTGAAGGTGATGGTCTCGTACTTGTTTTCTGCTGCTTTCATCCTCTGATTATTTCCTACCTCATGCAATTTTACCCCAGTAGTGCGTTTTTCTGGTGGACATGAACTTGCTTTGTCAATGAATTTAATAAGGCAACATTATGCTACTCCCTGCTTAAATTGCGTGTAAATAAGTTAAGATTTCTGTGTGTCTCAGAATGTTGAGGTTGAAGAGGAGCGTGTCGATGACCGTTCAGTTGACGACCTCTTGTCATTTATTAATGGAGACAGCAGAGGTATGCATAATTTTTGCTCCGATGTAGCTTGTCTACATTTTAATCTTCTATCCCAAAGATTGGAGTTCTATAAAACTTTCTCTATTTCATGGGTCTTTTGGTTGGTAGACCTGCTTAAATTGGCATAATAGTCTTGATATATGGTATTACTGATTAAATAGCTCTTCTCCTAAAAGAATGGTAAAATTCTGTTTAGCTCCTCTGGTTGCATCCCATGTGTCAATCTCAATGTCCAAATGTCCTCTATTTCTCTGCAGTCATTTGGGAGTGTGAGGGACTGCAGAGTGAATGATAGGGCTGAAACAGAACAAGGAAGGCAAATTGTTTTGTGTTCCTTTCTGAGAAACAGATTGGTAATTCATAAATTGTGGAAACATGGAAAGAATAAGACCTTTCTTTGAAGATATGATATTAAAATAAGTAATGTGCTTTTGTTTGTTTCCTTCAATCATCATTGTGTGGGAACTTTATTGAGGAATAATTTTCCAACAAACCCAAACTGAAAATTGTCGAAATTTTGCACTTAATTTTGGATATCATGTAACAGATGAAATGTTTAGAGTGCTAATTATACTTGTCTGTTTGGTACTGGCATCTGTTATATATCAGACTTTTAAAATTATTCTGCTGTTGTGGATACCATAAGCTTTGCCTCTTAGTCTTCTTTTTCTAATTCCTTCTGAAGGCCTCATAGGAGGTAAGGGAATTTTGTTTTGCAGATTCTAAAGGAATTAAAACTTCAAAGAGTAAAAAGAAGAACCGAAGAAGGAAAGATCAGCAGAAGAGCACATCTGGCAGTGAAGCAACGAAAAACCATAATAAAGTTTGACCCTCTCCTTGTTACTTCTTTAGTTTCTCTCAATACTGCCAAGTTACTGAAGTTTCACTCATGTTCCAGGAGCCAAATGGTCTTAACTCTGTATGCCGTAGTGCCGAAGTTGGTCAGAAAATTCAGCCCAGTTTTGGTGCTACCTCAAACTTACAGGATGCTGAAGATGATATATTTGCCAATAAGAATGAGTTTGATGACGCTGATATTGATGATGAGATTGATCCGGCATTGAAGGAAAAACTAGACAGGTAAAGGTGGAATTTTGCCTCCTAAAATTTCCTCTTCTTCCTTGCTCCCTTCTTATTTTTCTGCTCTTTCTTTGTGAGCATTGAAGGAAAAAAATGGTCACTTAACCTTGGATTTTTTGCCCGAGGGCTTAGCGTGTACACCTTCAATTGCCCAGCTAGTAATAGAGAAATAAATCCAAGATTTTGAAGTTTCTAGACTTGTGTGTTTTTATTCTTTGATATATATCTTCAAGTGGATCTTATGTTTTTCTGTCCATCTCTCCTTTTTCTGTTCCTCTTTTTTTCCCTTCTTTCTCTTTTTCTTTCTCCATTTTCTGTTGATCTATTACAAACAAATGTCCCAAAGGATGAGCTGCCTAGTAAATATTGTAATAACTAGACTTATGACCTCACCTTAATTCATTATTTTAAGGGTTCATGTGCAAGTCCATTTATATTTCTAGAAGTGATGCCGCATTTCTGTAGTAATAGAAACAGAAGATCTTGTCATCTGATATTCTGTTTAATCTGCATATCTGGACTAAAAGAGAGAATTTTTAAAGGAAATTGAAATCATTGCTCTTGATCTGTTGAAAATCTCCGTGGTAGTCCATATATTAGATATTGTTCATATGAATTGATTAGTCCTACTACTGGAGGAAAAGCGGTATGCTGACAACAACAATGAATATTGTATCCAATGAAGTAACAATGTTAAATATCTCATACTTGTTTTACACTATTTTGGAGGAAATTTGTATCTGTACTCTGTAGGCCTAATGATCTTCATTTATATCTTTTGTTTAGGGAGGTTGAAGATTTTCGCCGTATATTGAATTCAAATTGGCCAGAAAGAATGCAAGAAATTCTTTCTTTTGGTCAAGAAAGAAAACCGGCCCATTTTTCCCTAAATGGTAATGGTTCGGTAAGGAGATATATGAGTATGTTGCTTTCCCTTTTCTGTTATAAGTCTGTTTAGTGTTGCTTGTGAAAATTTCATTTGATTTTACTCTCTGTCCATTCTTGTGAAATTAACTATTTGCATTTGTAAACTAAATGAGCCTACGTGTTTGCCTTCTCATCTGTTCCCCTGATGCCTAACTTCAGTTAATGATTTTTCGTGGTTGTGATGGTTCATTTTTTAGAAGTTAAAACCAAACTTTCGTTTTTTGTTATGTTTCCAAGTATCATTCTCATTTGTTTGAATAAGTAACTAACACACTAAAATATTTTTGTATGGTGAGGGCCAGATCCGGAGCACAGATGATTTTGCAATGAGGATACTTCCTCAGCTCGCCTCACAGCCTGGACAATTTTGATGAGATGCTTTTCAGGTGGCTAAAAGATTGCACCTAGAAGGGTTGGGATCCTGGCATTGTGGATCCCTTGTAAGTTTTTAACTTCTTTTTTTTTTTAAATTATTTCTTTCTTTGTTGTGCTTAGTCAGGATGCAATTTTGATTGCGAGGGCAACCTCTTTGTATTTTCATGATAGAAGAAATAAGAAGGAACTGTGTTTTGGTGAGCCAGTTCTGGTCAATTACTCTTTCTCGCAAAGCTACGATGGAAAAAGAAAAAACAAAAACCGAGAGAAAGTAGGTCGTCTTATTTGTGGTCGTTAATTAAAATTTTACGACTCCGACGATGTTTTAGGCAATTATGGGCTTAGGTTAGAATGCCCATTCATACTGTTTTCAGTTGTCTGAATAAATGCTGGTGGGCTTTTCAACATCATGCGAAGGTCTTCTGTTCAACTAGCATCTAATCACGAATGCTTAATGAAGAAACGACCATTTTTTTGGGAATTGATTATTGGCTATGAGTTTGGCTGGATGTTGTTGGCCTGTAGTGTAATGGAGATATCTGCTATCCATGTTATAACTTAGAAGTCATATGTCAGTATCGGGTTGGAATTTGTGGGACTCTAACTAGTGTTACATTTTTTTAAAAATTTTTTCAGTACTGTTTACAACTAACCCCTTTAAATTTTTCATGACCCCATTTGTCATAAAAATTGGTACTAAATATGGTAGAAGCTGCACAACCTTGTGAATGTAGTAGATTCCAAATAGCCTGTCGGCATGTGTGGGTAAAGCATAAAAAGGACTTTGGCAATATGGTCCTGAAGATCCTGAAGATCAATGATGCTCCTCCACTCATCTTGAGTAAGAAAAATTCGAGAGTGCAAGCTGGCAAGCATCTTTGGTTGTGACAAATTCTGTTGTCTAACCGAACAGTACAGTGATGAGAAAAAGTTTGGATGCCTAGTTACTTCGGCTAGGCTTTGCTCTGACAGAAAATTTTCTGTTGGATTGGACCTAACATCATGTGGAAATTATAACCAAGCAAAGACGGGCCGGATTCGATGTCGTCAACATTGAGTTTTGGTTTTCGATTGTCCTTTTATTTCTTTTGTGCATTTAGTTTCTTTTATTTATTTTATATCCTAGCTATTTAATTTACCCAATAAAGATATTATGTCTTAATCCTTTTAAACTTATAATCTCTATTCCCTGAGATTAGCTTTGTAATGATCTCGGCGGCAATGCGTCTAATTAGAGTTCTATTTTGGATATTTTGTGTGATAAGCTTTGTACTTTTTGCAACTTGGCAACGCTTATCGAGTATAAGTTCAACGTTATCTTCGACGAGAGTAAAGCCTAGCTGATGTTTTCCCGTACTGAGGGGGACCACACATGTGCCATTTCTCACACGTGTGATTCCACCATGAAAGATAGTGCATGTATGAATAGCCCTACCATGTCTGTTGTCCATGTGAGGGCCCCTCCTTTGCATCTTCATTGCCGTCCGTCCAAAGAAACTGTGCTACTCCCAAATGAGGTTAGGTCCATCCCTACAAACACGTGTTTTCTTGATACTGGTTGTAAATGGTTTCAACCAATAATTAGCTGAAATGTACCAAGAAATCAGTGAGGTTGATATTACCTGATCCCATCTAAAAAATTATTTATATTGCCGTCTTATCTGTACGGTCTATACGGAAACTTTTAACCAAATTTACACTGGCCGGGTAACGTTTGAACTTGGATTAGATATTATCCCACGCGCTTTTGCTTTTTCAACTTCTATCACCGTTAAAAACGGTGTTTGGTAACAAGGAATCTTATTAAAATGTGGTCTCCCATTGCTTCTTTTTCCTCCTTTTGATTAAAACAAAAATTAAAATTAAAATGTTTCCCTCTTAAATAGTCATTTGACTGTTTGATTTTTCTACGTTAACTTAACAAAATCATGGTTTGACTTCACAATTTAATTTAAAGATACTAAAATTGAACACATTCATTTATGTTGATGAAAAACAAAATAATTTTGAAAGATAATAATATGTAAAAAAAAAAGGAGTATGTAGTTTTTTTTTAAGTGAGAAAATCAAGACTAAAAAAAAATAGTAGATAGTATTTTTTTTTTCAAGTGAGTACTTTCTCTTTTTTAAGTGAGAAAATGTATATACTATTAATTTTATATTTTAAAATAATTTTATTTTATTTGTTAATATATTTTTAATCAAATTAATGTGATTTGACTCATGATTCCAACTCAATTATGCACTTTATATATAGTATAGATTGCACTAAATTATGATTAAGTGAGTGTTTGGTCTAAATCATGAAAAAGTTTTTTCATTTTAGAAGTAGTAGGCATATGTTTAGTTATCAAACATTTAAGATTTTTAGTTTATGCATGAAGTTCATTTTAGTTTTTAAGCGAAATTATAAATTAAAATTAAAAAAATCCTAATATTATATTATTTTACATTAATTTTTTATTTTTCTTAATTTTTTGTTGATTATATTTGTTTCATTTGTAATTGAAAAAAATATTTTTATTTTATTTATTTTTTATTCAAAATTTTGTGTTTTATTTTAATAAAGTTGACCATTTTTATTTTTTATTTATTAAAACTATACAAATATAATAATATTTTTTAATATTTTACAACAACAAAGTTTATCAAATATTATTTTAATTTATTCTTATAACATTTAGCAAATTTTGCTTGAACAAAATTCCTTAATGAAATTTCAATCGAACCAAATAAACCCTAATATTAAATATCAATAACACATAACATGTATTTTTTTAATTTTTTTTTGACCACTTTTATGAGTCTAATTTAAAGTAGTTAGTCAAATTTTAAGGTACATTCTACATATATTCTTTTATTACTTCTTATATTTATTGTAATAAAAAAAATATCTCAAAAAGTGAACTTACAACACTATTACTCTAATTAAAGTAACTATTTATTGATCCTTACTAAGCAAACTCTCTAACTGATTAATTTGGAAATTATTAAATGAATCATACCTGATTAATAATTGGATTTATGCTTTAATAATTACTTTATTAGTGCAAAAAATTTATTCCCTATAAGCTAGACCATTTCTACTCCAAAATTACAATATCGTGAACTGCACACGCTGACCTAGAGCGTCAACCACACAGAAAAAGAGCAAAAAGCAAATCCAGGCAGCAGCTGTTACCACACGGCGTTTATTTCATGTTCCTACCTCAAAACGACAAAAAACCCAAAATAAGGAAAATGAAAAACAAAAAAGAAAATAAAGAAAGTGATGTTTTTCTTCTTCTTCCTTTGTGCTTTTCCTTTATGCTTCCACATGCTTCACTTCTATCTTTTTTTGGGTTATCTTTGTTTATCTCTCTGAAGAAAGAAAAGAAGAAAAAAAACCCTCGAGAACCCTTTGTTTTTTTCTTTATTTATGGTAAATCTTTCCAAATATGGAAATAAATAGGGGTGTATTTATAGTAATTTTAGTAGTAATTCTGAGTGCTGGTTTGGGGTCGGCTGGGGACATAGTTCATCAAGACGATGTTGCGCCAAAGAGACCTGGTTGTGCTAATAACTTTGTTCTGGTATTCCTACGAAAGCCCTAAACTTTATTTATTTTTTCTTGCTGTCTGTTTGGTTGCTGAGAAAATGGAGGAATGATGAAAGAATCTTGCTTTTTGTCCTTGTACTTGATTTTGGGTTAAGATTTTTCTTTAAATTCGATAATTCTTTCTTTTTTTTTGGGATTTATTTACTTCAAATTATGACCTTGTCTTTTTAGTTCTTTCTGTTTGATTGCTAAGAAAATGGTGGCAATATATATATATATATCTATATATTAGCTTATTTTTGTGATTTTCATCCTGATGGAAAAGTTGATAATGTTTTTCGTGAGTTCCTTTCTTTTTGTTTGGATCAAAGGAAAATAAAATGGTAAAATTTGCTATGAGCTAAATTTTTGCTCTATACTCTTTTTTTTTTTCTTATTTGATTATTAAGGCTGGGAGAGGAAATGTGTTAACTTTATTGAATTGTTTGTTTCTATGCATTGGAAGGACAAAAACTTAGTTAAACTAAGCCAAGTAGTTATTTTGGGCTTAGCTGGGTAGGACTCTTTTCCCCATAGTATTGGTATGGTGAAACACTTTTAAAAATTTCTTAGCAGCCAGAGGAAACCTTAATCTTTCCTTAAATTTTAAAATAGATTAAAAGTATATTTTACTTAGACAATAACTTATTACTGGAATGTCTTTAATCTTCAAAATATTTGCAACTTGAACTCAACTTACAAAAAGTTAAGTAAATAGCTGAAAAATCTGTGGCATCTTCTTTGTTTTCTTCTTTTTCTTCTAACATTTGGATTCAATAATAGATTTTCTTACTTCTTTGCTACCCTCTGAAAATTAAGTTAGAAATGGTGTTTGTTTGTTCGTTTTGTTTTTTATTGGTTTAATCATATTCTTTGATATATTGTTTTAAAAATTATGAATATGGCCTTTGTATATTAGATTTGATCCAATTTGTATTTTAGGTAAAAGTCCCAACCTGGATTAATAGTTTAGAAGACAATGAATATGTTGGTGTTGGTGCTCGTTTTGGACCTACTTTGGAGTCGAAGGAAAAACATGCAAACCATACCAGGCTTGCACTTGCAGATCCTCCTGATTGTTGCAGCAAACCTAGGAATCAGGTTTTCAAATTCTGATCTTTTTACAATATATACATCCAATTTGACTCCTAGATATATTCTTTTTGACGTGTGCATGTGTTTTCATCTGATCAGTGCCCTTTCACTTTTTCCTTTACTCATTGATAATCTTGAATGTCTTGCCCGTTGGTAGCTTGCAGGGAAGGTCGTTCTGGTGCATCGAGGTAACTGTAGTTTCACAGTGAAGGCAAATGCTGCTGAAGAAGCTGGTGCTTCTGCCATCCTCATAATAAACAACCAAACGGGTATCTTGAATAATGCATGATAAGATTATTGCTTCAGATTGGAAAGTTGAAGGAATTTTATGGGCTTACATTTTGGGTTATGATATCTTTTCATTTTTCAACAATAGCCATCATCATGAAAAATTACTCATAAGATTACTACTACAACTGTGATCAGAAAATTACTCATAAGATTACTTTTTCTGTTCTTTATGATATGTCTCTAAATATCATTGAATTTTATCCGTCCAAATTCTCTAGATGGCTGTTGTGATATCATCATTTTCAATTGTTGGAGCTTGTTTGAGCTATGATTGTGGTAGCTTCAGTTTCTTAATCAATTTACCCTTAGAAAGATGGGAAATGTATGGAATCTTTTGTGATGGCTAATTAAAGTTATGAGCAGTTGTCAATAGTCCCAAAACTTTTTTTTGTTTTCTAAATGCTGAATCAATTAATCTTATTCTACAGAACTCTTCAAGATGGTTTGTGAATCCAATGCTGATGTAGATATAAAAATACCAGCTGTCATGCTTCCTCACGATGCTGGTTTGCATCTGGAAAAATATATAAATAACGACACCATCGGTATGACTTTCCTTCTTCCACATTTCTTTGATACGGTCACAATTGATTTGCGTCTTTGTTCTGGAGAAGTACTCTCTTCTGCTCTTTTTCCTTGCTTGATATTACCTCATACGGCATTAGGTCAAAGTGGATTTTAAATTGCCTGCACTTTTCATCTTTATGTAGTTTCTGTTGCCTTTTACTCTCCAAAGCGTCCACCAGTTGATATTGCTGAACTGTTTTTGTGGCTAATGGCTGTTGGTACCATTTTGTGTGCTTCTTTTTGGTCTGCATGGACTGCTAGAGAAGTTGCTATTGAGCAAGACAAGCTACTAAAGGTCACTTTATAACCTTTAAGAGCAAATTTTATGCATTCTTTGTTAAATTTGTTCTAGTGTATATATAGCAAATATGTTTTCAGTATAATTTATCCACCGCAATGATCGATGTTGTTTGCACAGGATGCATCAGAAGAATTTCTACTAGTGGGAGGTGCAGGGTCGAGTGGTTTTGTTGACATAAATACAATGTCAGCCATTCTCTTTGTCGTGATTGCTTCATGTTTCTTGGTCATGCTTTACAAGCTTATGTCATTCTGGTTTGTTGAGGTTCTGGTGGTTCTGTTTTGCATTGGCGGAGTAGAGGTGCGCCTATCTTCATATATTTGTATGCTTAGTTTAGAGTGGCTTATTTCCTCTTATCTTTTTATTGGTAATTCACAAGTTATTACTGAGCTACTTCATATTATCTCCAACAGTTCTCAATATTTTTATGGGCAGTTTTAAGATTTTACTAATGATGCTAGTCTTCTTTCCTTGTATATATATATGCGTCTCTTCTTCCTGTTTTGGACAGTGGTGGATCTAGGATTTTTTTTTCTAGGGGTGTCCGCTCATATAATATTGTATAAAAATTTGGTGATGGATTTACCAATTTTATCAATGAATTTACTAATTGTCAACGAATTTGCTAATTTTGTGGACGAAAAAGGTATCCATGAGAAAATTTTGGGTGTCCAGTAAAAATGATTCCTTCACATTTTCTTATTTTTCAAAATTTGGGGTGTATATGGGGAAATTTTGGGTGTGTCGGGTGAAAATTTTCCCTTCAAATTTTCTTACTTTCCAAATCATGGACACCCTAGTTTATAAGGTGGATACCCCTATGGTTTTGATCTGTGCTTCTTTGGCAAATCTTGCCCAAAGTTCTAACCCAAGCATATTGTGCTGAAGGGTCATTTTTTTGTCTCTATTTTACATTATCTGCAATGTCCCCAATGTGACTAATGGTTATGACTTATGAAGCCATTTGATGGAAGCTGCAATTGTTGTTGCTCATGCACATTTCGTGCATGTCAAGCACCATCATCCGTGTCTCAGTACTTTTCTGGACAATTTATTTTACACTTGCACAGAAGAAAACAGTTTTTGCAACATGTCAAAGATCTTGAATCTGTTCAGTGGGAGGGATATCAGTTTCAGAAGCTGCAACCAAGGGACACCTTGTTCCTTATTGAGCATCAGCATTTGTCTGTGTCATCATCACTTGGTGGACACTGATGTCTGTGCCTTTATGTTTTTACTGAGGCTAAGTTTTTAGATTTTAGAAAACATGTCAAAGATCTTGGTGTGTGAGATGCAAGGCTCACAATCCTTCCAGCTTAAAATAACTTATCCAAAAGACATGCTACCTACTAAAAAGTATCATGTTGCTCTATGTAATTTGTTAATGTTGAGGACAATAATCATGTGATCTTAGTTAGTGCTAGAAATGATATAAAAAAGCTTTGCAACTTTGGCGAGAGGCCATTACCGTCCATGCAATGATTTTGTGAACCTCAATTTGAAAACATCTCTTAAATAAATGTGCCTGGATGTAAAAGTTACTTAATCAGATGCTACACTTGACTTCCATGTTACATTTTTCTGATATTCTCTTGTGATGAGGTCTGATAGAAAGGGCTGAGGGTTGGGGTAGGGGGAAGACTCTCTTAAGATGAGTGCTGATCCTTGATATATCCCTTTATGCTTCCAGGGCCTGCAAACCTGCTTGGTGGCTTTGTTATCATGGTATGCGTATTCCTTCCCCATTACTTTTCTATGATTACATGTGCATCTTCTTGATTGTTCTGCTGCCCCCCTTTGTCTTCTTAATGGAACATCATTAAGACCAAAGTCTCTCTTAGAAATATGTGGGAAAAGTAAGTCAGCAACTACAACAACAACAACAACAAACTAAGCCTTATGTTCCATAACTCTGGGGTTGACTGTATGAAAGGCCAAAAGGAGAATCATGTTAGGTTATAGTTTTGAACCTTCTTCCACCACTCATTTCTATCAAAAACAACCTTTTCATCTACTTACTTAACCCTCAAATCTTTTCTTATTACTGTCATCCACGTCATCCACAGGAAGTCAGCAACTAAATCTCTATTAAAATGTTTTAAAAGCAACACTATTCCTAGAATGCATGCTTTTTCTTTCCAAGTTTTAGTGAACAAGTTATAAATCAAATGACACTGACAACCAAGTATATATAGTTTCAGGTGGTTTCAATGCTTTGCAGAATCATATGTCAAAGTACCCTTCTTTGGAGCTGTTTCGCATCTGACACTGGGTGTTTCTCCCTTCTGCATAGCATTTGCTGTTGTTTGGGCTGTGTATCGCCGAATCTCCTTTGCCTGGATAGGTCAAGATATTCTTGTAAGACAATGTTTCTAGTAACTTATGTTCATATGTTGTTATTGGTACCTTTCTTAGTAACTGGATTTCTATAGGTGATTGTATCATATCCGATGTGTCCTTTTGGTTGTAGTGACATCTCTTCTCATTGAAAATTAATATGCTTGGAAACTTAGTCTGATTTATATTGTTATCATGTTGAACTGATGATATTTAAACCTCCTCTTTTGCACTCTCAATCAGGGTATTGCACTTATAATCACAGTCCTTCAGATTGTTCGTGTACCAAATCTCAAGGTGAGTATCTTGATTTATTTGACTTTTCTACCTACTGCTTAGAGATGCTTGCTTGTTATGCTATTTTATGGGTTTTATCTTCTTTGCATTTCTGCACGCACAGGATAAAATATGCATGTAGCTAGTGTACATTTGAGGATAATTGAAGTGCTGAAAAATCTTTTGATGCTCTTTAGTGATGAATTTTATTGAATCAGGTTGGAACAGTTCTTCTGGGTTGTGCTTTCTTGTATGATATCTTCTGGGTGTTTGTTTCAAAATGGTGGTTTCATGAGAGCGTGATGATAGTGGTAAGTAATTATAAATATTATTTCTTCGCCATAAAATTCTGGTAATGGCTGATATTCTTTATGTAGACCTGTTGGACCATTGAGGGAATGGCATTAGTTTATTATTTTCCCTCTATATAGGTAGCTCGTGGTGATAAAAGTGGAGAGGATGGCATACCAATGCTACTAAAAATTCCACGGATGTTTGATCCTTGGGGTGGCTACAGCGTTATTGGATTTGGAGACATAATCTTACCTGGACTGCTTGTGGCATTTTCACTAAGGTTTGAACATTGGAGCCATATTAACTTTTGCATGGCTACTAGCTGTCCACAGGATCTAGAATAATTTGATCTTTATTATCTTTGTTGATTCTTTATACTTTTGTATAGTTTAAGAACTTATAACCATAAGACCAAAATGTGCTGATCATAATTTGTTAATAGACCATATTTACAAGATTCAGTAAGTCCATAAATTATGTCACTATGGCTTATGAAAGTGAATATGCAGCATAATTTAAACTGGAAATAGTTGGTTCTGTTTGTTTTGGGAGTGTTCTATCTTCATTCAAATGTTACGGTACTTGGATTAATTCCAAACAAATAGATTGGTTTCTTATGTTTTGTCTGTTAATTGACTGACCATGTTGGGGATTTTGCAGATATGATTGGCTGGCGAAGAAGAATCTTCGAGCAGGGTACTTTGTATGGGCAATGACTGCTTATGGTGTAGGTATGAGAAATTATTAATTTGCGGAGGCAACCTGTTGATATGTTGGGGTGGGGGAGGGGAAGATGGAACCAAGACAAGCTTGAATTTTACTTTGTTCTAACTCAGCTAAGCCTCAAATTAATGAGGCTCAAGGTCCTTACTGCTAAGGGGAAAAAAATTGTTAGGCTCAAGCTCTTTATTTAATAATCCCATAATCTAAAAGGGCACAAAAATGATATTGTTCAGAGCCTCCTAATTTAATGTGATAATATATATATATATATATATATTTTACAGTTTCATTTTCATTGTCTTCTGTCTTGCAAGATAAAGACCGTTGGCTCATTAAGTCTCTGTTCCTTTAAATTAATTCCTTAGGTCTTCTAGTCACGTATGTGGCCTTGAACATGATGGATGGACACGGCCAACCTGCTTTGCTTTACATTGTACCTTTCACACTTGGTAAGTGGCAATGAGATAAAGAATAGTGCAGTTTCGGTAACATAAATTGACGTGCTTATAAACCCCAGATGAACCCCTATCTTCCACCATATTTCACTTACCACGCATCTGTTGTTTCGATTGCAGGGACCTTTATTACTTTGGGAAAGAAGAGAGGTGATCTCAAAAGTCTCTGGACAAGAGGAGAACCAGAGATGCCTTGTCCTCATGTCCAACTTCAGCCCCTAAAACAAAAAGAATAATGGTAATAAACCATGCAAAATAAGCACCTCAATTGTATGCCTGTTTTGGCTTCTCTTCTAGTCCGGAACCAGTTGAAAAGCTTTTAACCTTTTAGGTTGTAGAGAAGCATGTAATATTTGCAGGATGGTTATTGCGACACCTTTAGAAATTGACCAGTAACAAAGTACTTTCAAGCCCGTTCAACTAATTTCTTAGAATCTTTACCTTTGATTCTGTAAACCTATGATCAGATTATGACAAAGTAATTGATGAGTTTGAAATTAGCCTAAAGCCTCTGCATAAAGACCGTGGTTCAGAGTGATTTATAATTTCTAATTTTAGATATAACGGAAACAGTTGTATCATGGCAACTTCATTGAGATACTCGGCAATGAGGCAAGATCTATATTTTGTAATTTTAGATGTAACACTTTGTTCTTTAAAATATTGTTTCTGAGTTCTGACTCTGACAGAGAATGTACAAACATGTAGGACTCTTATGTACTATTACACTTATAAATGAGGAAGAGCATGATAAAAAAAAAAGGCAAAATTCCGAGGATTGAAAAGCACGGTTTATATATATATATACACACACAAGATGGGAAACTAGGAGGGAGACTGGGAAACAAGTTCCTGGAACAAATTACAATTTCAGCGATTTTGCTGCCACTGCTGAATAGCAGAACGAAGAGGAAAGTTAGGGATAAGATTTCGATGCGGAAGCCTGAGGTTTGTCATAGGTGAGGTATCATGGTCAGCTAGCCATCCCTGCAATGCTGTTGCCTCATAAGTAAAACCATCAGCTGCCACATGGGGTTCACTCATAACTTCCTGCAAGCCAATTATCCAATGAATTGAAAAGTGTGTTTTAGTGGATGCAAGTATAATCTAATTGTGATTCTTGGCAACAAAGCCCAGACTTAAGCCATAGAATTAGAGAATTTGTTTCCGGTAGATAAACCACCTAAAGGGTTATTAAATCAATAGAAGAGTAATGGAGCTAACCTGTAAAATAGGGCAAATGAAATAAGGTGGAGGCTCACGATTATCATCTTCAGACTCATCAGGGTATGATAATGACGCTCCGGGAGAAGGTCTCATCGTTTCAAGCACCTTCAAGACCTCTGAAGCAAGATCAGGTCGACGGCTGCGGTTAATATGACAACATCTTATAGCCAAGTGAGTCAACTGTGCAACTTGGTGTGGCCATACTCCAGCTGAAGAATCTAAGAAGGAATTCAGATTTCCTCCATTTCGTAGTGCATCTTGTGCGGTCTCAGCTATATTCTGAGTTGATCTCCCACTCAGTAACTGTAATAGTATAATGCCAAAAGGGTATATGTCTAAACTGTGAGATAATCTTCCTGTATTAAGGAAATCAGGATCTAAGTAAGGATGTGCATTGCTTGAGTTTTCCAGAAGAGACCGTGCACGGCGTTCTCCGAAGTCGCTCAGTTTGCAGCCAAAGTTGTCATCAAGGAGAATATTCCTGGGTTTTAAGTTGCCATGAACTAGTTTACTGGAATGTAAAAACATGAGAGTAGAGCATAGCTCAGTAGCTATGTGTATCCTTTTCTGCGATGACAGCGGTTGGGCGTCATTGCTGCAGTTCAAATGATCTTCAAGGCTTCCATTAGGAAGATATTCATAGATTAGAGCCCAATTTTCAGGGCAGGCTCCAATGAAAGCTACCAGGTTTGGATGCCTCGATTTACTCAAATCATCAACCTGAAATACAGGAGAACATACTTTATTTCACTCCATTGCATGTAACTTATTTGATCTAAAATTTGTACCATAAATAACTTTCATGTTGCTTCATATATTGGTAGCTGCAATCTAATTGAATGTTATCCTTCAAATTAAAAGAACCACATAGACAAATTGAAAATGCCCAATGAATGTAAACTTCAGAAAAATAATCTGGTAGAAACTCTTTTTTATTTTTCTTTTGTTTTTGAGACTGCCAGTACTGAACCCTGATCACTGTTGAACAGGTAGAAACTCAATATATACTCAACAAGTTTTCTTACCTCCTGTTGGAATTCAGAGGGGTATTGTAAGCTATTTGGGCCAAGCACCTTTATAGCAACTTCAGTGTGACGAAGGACGCATTTATAGTATACACTCCCTCGAGCTCCATCTGCAATCTTAAAGGAGGGGTGAAACTCCTCAGTGGCTTCCTCAATCTCTGAGATGGAAAACTCTGTAAAGGTTGGCTGCATATGTGTGCTTGAGGTATCTTCCGCTTGTTTTCTTAAAAGCTCTTCGGTTATCTTACGAGTATTTTCAAGCTCAACCTGCAACTCGTCTTTTTCTTTCTGGCAAATTCGTAACTGATCCAAAGTTGCATCATGAATCTCTGAGACAGACAACCGATCAGGGTCGAATTGCTGCATTCGTGTGCTTGAGGTCTCTTCTGCTTGTTTTCTCAAAAGCTCTTCAGTTACTTTGCGAGTATTTTCAAGCTCTACTTGCAACTCATCGTGTTCTTTCTGTGAAATTTGTAACTGCTCCATAGCTGATGACAACTCGTTTTTTTGGCTCTCCAGCATAGACTTTTGTTCCCTGGCAACAGAATGCTCTTCATCTCTCATCCTTTTCATCCTTTCGAGGTCCTCTTTCTGTTTTGCTAGTGCTACCTCAGTTTCTCTCTTGTATTCATTGTACAACCTTTCAAATCTTGTTGCCTATAAATTGATGGCAGGGATTAGCAACTATCCAATACTTTTTTAAAAAAATGAAAATTTTGGCAGCTGGCTAATGCTAGTCAGTTGCATATGTTTTGAGGAACAGTTGGTAAAATTCACCCCTTTTCTCTTTTAAATTTGTTAAATATAGTGGAAGTATAAGTTCAATGGTGACTCATTCTGTTCTCAATGCAAAAACCAAAACCATCTTCACAACAGATGGGAAACAAAGGCTGAATTGCAAAAGACATTACTTGGCGCATAGCCCGGACAGCATTCATTTCAGCTTTCACACGCCCTTCAGACTCTTCAAATGCTTTTCGATTGGATGATTCAGCTTCCTGCAGTGCCTTTTCAAGTTGATCATATAGGTGATCACTGCTAACTACTTCCTGCAAAAAGCCATGAACCATCAGGGACATTAGCAATCATCGTTTTAAATCTGAAAATGCTTCATTTTGCAGGTTCTAGTTCAAAATTAGCTAAAGGGGTGGCAAAATGGCTGTAGGGTTGATCAGCATATGACAATAGAAATTTGCATTGTGGACATTCTCAACATGTAGCTTTTATAGCAGATGAATAAAAACTGTACTTGTTACAGTACATTGGGCGTTAACAATGAATCACAAACCTCTCCAGAGTGAAGCAATACAAATGGCTCAACATCACTCTCACTCTCCTCTCTTTCCTCATACACAGTCGAGTCTAAGATACCAGCAGCCTCACTAGAGCTCGTCAAATAACTGGAACCTGATGGACTTTGTGCATTTGATGATTGCCCAGTTTCAAACCTGCACTAAAGACCTTTAAGTCAATATAATAAAGCAGTTGGAATGTGCTATTTCATTAATGATAAATTAATCAGAGTCTGACAGAGAACTTTTCACCCATTAGCTTGAAATGTGTACCTGAAAGTTCCAAGAGATAAGACACATAAATTAGAATCAGGATTTTGGCAATCACTGAGCATACCTTGTGTGGACAAGGTGCTCCCTGCAAATGAACCAAATTTGACAGGAAAATGGTGCATTTTCGTTCACATATTGTGCTTTCTCAGACATGAGCCACATTCCCCTGCAATGTTAAGGTCAAGTTCAGTCGATGAGTGCAGAAAATAAATAACGTCATGACTGTTAAGGAAACTGAGAACTGTTTAATAGAAAGTTTTTTGTACTCTGAGAAGTGCTCGTCAGCTGCTGCTCCCATGACTAGCTTCTTGATATTTTGCCGGTGAATCAACTCGACAATCCCCTTTGCAACATCATCCCTCTGAATAGATAATCTTATTGCACTGACCTACACGATATTGAGGAACTGTTTCAGAAAAAAAAAAAAATTTTCTTGAAAACTGTTTATGGGCATACAGGGAAATTTTTTTGAATCTTTCTCCATCGAAAACAACTCTCTGAAATTGGGTATAATTTGATGTCAGTTCCCAAAAGTTGAAAAAACTAATGCGATTTCCACTATCAGATCCTTTTAGAGATGTGTCGAGACTTGTCTGGGGTTCTTTCAATGTATTCAATAACACAAATTAATGTTTACAATCACCCAAGTTTCGCTAAATAATCACCAACTGTTTTCATACCTAACATTAAAAAACCGAAAAACGCATAAATTATAGAAAGAAAAAAAAAAAAAAACTTTCCATTAAGCAACCATGACTCTTTTGCCGAGTTCAGTAGCCATTAAAAGTGCAACTGTACAGAAAGAAGACTGAAGGAAGAAATAGTACCCCTGCTTGACTACAACAAAGAAGGTACTCTTCCATGATCCGATCCATCATGCCCATTCCAACTTCCTCTAGACCCCTGAGTTGTCGTTGGTCAAACATGATTTCAGCTAAATTCCCACTAACTCCATAAGGAAAGGGGGAAAACAGAAAAAACAAAATCAGATTGCATACAGCAAAGAATCTGAAAGAAACCATTAGAAATCAGCAGAAAAGAAAGTCCAATTTCTTTAGTTCATCAGACCAACATGTTATAATTAGAGTGAATTGACTTACTGGAGGAGATCATTTTGGAAGGCTGATGAACATGAAGGATGCAAACTTTTCGAGGACTAAGATTTTGTAATGTCCATAACAAAGTGAGCACACTTTCTTCAACTTCTCCTACTGCAACATATATGGTATCATCATCACCAGCCATGTTGTTAACAGGTGTTGTTTAATGATCTCTCTTCTCTTCACCCACTTTGATTACTCCCTGAATCAACCAGTTTTAAAGCTGCAGACACAGGACTCAGTTAAGCCAGAGCCGTGGCAATTATTTCTTCAGTCTTTATCTGATGTAAACCAAGAAAGCTTCAAGGCAAGTTCCAAGTCAATACAGGGTCAATGACACTATGCATACAGGAAAAAAAAAAAAAAGAAGGGAAGATTCCCTACGTTAAGGTCCGTATGATGTGGAAGACTTGTCATGACAAGAAATTAATCACTTGTAACTGTATTAAAATACTTTAATAGTATTAAATCGAAAGGAAAATTGAATTCCAAAATAATCCAATTTCCAAAAATCTTTTTTGGCTGCTTTTGGATCCAAAAATTTATTTTCTTTCAATCTTTTTGGTTTCATTGATCACTGCTGGGTTCCACACGCCAACAGCCTTTCTTCTTTTTATCGGCCTATTATTCCTTGTTTCTTTTACCCTCTTTCTGCCTTGATGCGTGCATCGAGTGAAATTACTTTTATATGACAACTAAATCAAGAGAAAAACCTTAAAAAAAAAAAAAAAAAACCAATTTTTCATGTAATTTTTTTCTCTGTTTCTTTTCATTTTTATCTGTGTGGAAAAGAAATAAAGCCTAAAGCAAACAAACAAAGTAGAAGAATATTTTACTATTTCTCATTTGTTGAGAAATAATAAGGTACGAGATGGTAAAGGATGAGGATTTTTTTTAATCCATAGTTATCCCCGAGTTACTCCTACTGCTACTCAGGTACTATTATTACAAGGGCATGACTCAGATCATACCGTACAATGATTGCTTCCTCTCACGGACTCACAACAATTAAGTAAGTATGAACATATAAAAGCAAAATTTCCGACTCAAAGAAAATTTCGTTCTTTCAATCCTCTAAACACGCTTTGAGGTTTGAATATTTACTCAGTAGCAAATCAGATACGGGAGTCCCTGGAACTGGATATAAAACTCCATTCTTAGAAATATCAACTATAATTCCACATAATATATACATATACAATATTGTAGACATGCCTATGTTCGATTGCAAAAAAAAAACAACGACATTAGAATTGGAACGATATTAGAAGGAAACATACAACATGGAGAATACTAGGAAACTAGTCAAACATATTCCTGGAACAAAGGAGCAACTGAAAAAACATTAAGTGGTTTAGATCGAGGTCTAGAGTTGCCGGACATGAGCAAATTAAGGAGGAAAACGCATTTAAGGACAAATTCAGTGCCGCTGCTGTTGCCACTCCAAGATTGCAGAACGAAGTGCATGGTTAGGGACAAGATTGCGATTAGCAAGCCTTACGTTTGTCATTGGCGAGGTATCGCGGCCACTGTCCAGCCATTTCCTCAACTCCCGCAATTCATAAGTATAACCATCCGCTGCCACATGCGGATTTGCCATAATTTCCTGCAAACATGAGCAACAGAAGTTAATGTGTTACACAGAATTCAAATACAGTAAGACCAAACTGGTTCTTCCTTCAGAGTCGAGAAATTAGAGCTACATTCCTATACCATAACACCCCCATTTCTGTATCAAATTCAAAAGATGGGAGCAATTCACCTTCACTAGGTGAATTTAGTAGGTCTATATTGGTTGTCTATGTTACTGCTATTTGCAATTTTGTATTGGCTTTTAGTTTTCTCAATTTCTACCATGCATAAATTAAAACTGAAAAATGTATATTAGGTTAATAGAACTTTGGAATATCCAACATGCACCAAGAATCTAGCATTTGAGAGTAAGGGTGGTCGCTAACCTGAGAAATAGGACAAATGAAATAAGGTGGAGGCTGATGATGCCCTTCAGACCCAGCATGGAATGTTGATAAAGGTCCAATAGAATCTCTCATCTGTTCAAGCACCCCAAAAACCTCCGAAGCAAGATCTGGACGACGACTTCGATTAGCATCACAGCATCTCAAAGCCAAGTGAGTCAACCGCGCAGCTTGCAAATATGACCAGCCTCCAGCTGAAGGATCTAACAAATCATTAAGATATCCTCCATTTCGAGCATTTTCCACATCCTTTGCTATATGCGAAGGTGATCTCCCAGTAATTAACTGTAGTAATATAATGCCAAATGAGTATATGTCAGAACTAGGAATCAATGTCCCTGTTGAAAGAAACTGAGGGTCCAGGTAAGGAAATCTGCTGCTTGAATGAGTCATATTGCTTGAATTTTCGAGAGAAGAAAGCGCATGGCAGACTCCAAAGTCGCTAAGTTTGCAGCCAAAGTTGGTATCAAGGAGTATATTCCCTGGTTTTAAGTTGCCATGCACTAACCTTTGAGGCTTACTGGAATGTAGGAAGATAAGGGCAGAACATATCTCAGTAGCTATATGTATTCGAGTTTGCCATGACAATGGGGGAGTATTATTCATCCGGCTCAAATGATCTTCAAGGCTTCCATTAGGGAGATATTCATAGATCAGAGCCCAAATTTCAGGGCAGACTCCAATGAGTGTGACCAGGTTTGGATGTCTCAGCTTACTCAGAATATCAACCTGAAATACAGCAGATGAAAATTTTATTTCGTTTTGTGAATACGATCAATATCTGATTTCTTTAAGTCCAAAAAGTAATATTGATTAAAATTGTCAATATGCAAAGAAAAAGTATGTATATTCAGTAACATAAGAATTTGAGTCTTCATAGGACTAAAAATTAGATTTACAGTATTTGTACTCTTAAGAACTTTCATGCCAAGGCGTAAAATCCTGACTACTCCAAATTAAGCCACATTTAAAAGTCACATCTGCCTCTAAATTTTAAAATTAAGGCCACTAAATAATCATATTGTGTTAGTAAATTTAGTTTAAAATGACAATATCAGTGATACTAGCTTACCTCCTTTTGAAATTCTGAGGGCCCCTGCAAACTATTTTGGTGGAGCACCTTTATAGCTACTGGAGTGTGACGGAGGATACATTTATAAATGTTCCCATATGCACCTTCTGCAATCTTAAAGGAAGGGTCAAGTTCCTCAGTTGCATCATGAATTTCAGTGACAGAGAACTCTGAGAAGAATTGCAGCATATGCATGCTACAAGTCTCTTCATCTTGTTTTGTTGAATGCTCCATGGTTTGCTTGCGAGCATTTTCAAACTTTATCTGCAGCTCATCTCGTTCTCTCTGGCAAGCTTGTAACTGTTCCATAGCAGATGTTACTTTACTTTCCAATACTTTAATGTCATCTAAGTTAGCAACTCGACTCTCCAATAATGACTTTTGTGTTCTGGCAAGTTTGCGCGCTTGATCTCTCTGCTGCTTGATCTGTTCAAGTTCCTCATTCTGTTTTGTGAGTACTGCTTCAGTTTCCCTCCGGCGTCTTAACTCTCCAGTGTATGAGCTTTTCAATTCACTTGCCTATAAGTTAATAATGGCTGGGATCAGAAAGTACTGATAAATGCATTCTCAAACTTTGGCAGTGAGACTAAAGAGAGCATGTTTAACACAAATCAGTTGGATTGAGGAAGATGGCATGAAAACACCGCATCTTCAGGGTGGAAATCCCAGAAATTTTGAACTTTGAGCCAAAATTGTAACAGCAGATATCAAATCAAACTAAATGAAATAAGCAATTACATGAAAGGTTTACTTGATTTTATCCATTCTTCCCTTCAAACAATAGTGCTGTCAAGTAGAAAATCAATAGTTTTATTTATTATTAAAGACAAAAAAAGTCATTTGGACAATGTCAAGTGAAGAGAGACGTTAAACTCCCTTGAACTGCAAAGCTAAGCCTGACTTAATCAATAGATAACAAGTTTCCTTTCTATGATCAGTAACACAAGTGCTAGACATAACCTTTCCGTTTGCAGTATTTTATCTACAACAATTAATGTAACTATAAATTTGAGGGAAACTCCTTTTCTTTTCTTTTCTTAGTCCAAAAACAAATATATCTACACAAAAAGAGAGGGAAGTGAGGCAAATGAAAAAAGGGGGACCTTACTTGGCGCATCACAGCATTAAGAGCACTCTTTTGCGCTTTCACATGCCTGTCCAACTCTTCAAATGCTTCTTGACTTAATTTTTCAGCATCTAATAGGGCTTCTTCAAGCTTATCAAAGGGTTGATGGTTCCTATTTTCTTCCTGTGAAGATTTATAACCATCTAAGACGTTAGCAAAAGGTTTAGAAAGACTGGATTTCACTGACTGCATTCAGAAACGTAAAGAAACGGACACAATGGAAATTTTTAACTTCTAAGTGATCACATGCTTGATGAATATATAATTGGTCCACTAATGTAAGTTTTAAATTTCCCTGTATAATCAGACATTGGTAAATAATCAGGATCTTCACCAAAGTGGAGTAGGGCGTCTCAAGCCAGTCTGGACTCCCCTCGGATGTCTCAGACACAGTCAGATTTGAATTGCTAGTCAAATGATTAGAACTTGAAGGATTACTCAGGTATGATTGTCCAGTTTCAACAATTGACCTACAGCAAGAAGTCCTTATATAAGTACACGTAAGCTTAGGAACAGATTAATAAGACTATTAGCGAGCATACCTTCTATGGATGAGTTGCCCCCCGCAAATAAACCAAATTTGACAGGAAGCTGGCGCATGTCGCTCCACGTATAGGGCTTTTTCAGACTTAAGATCAGTCATTCCCCTGCAATGTTAAGGCAGGCAAGTGATCAAGGTTAGAAAAAAAGTAAATATTAATTTAGTCGGCCATGGACATAGTTTAGGTAAGCAAAACCCTGTGACAGCTTTAGTTTAACAAACCTAAGAGTAATAGTTCTATGAATAACACAAGTTACCTAATTAATTTATTTTAGAAAATGTGAACAGGAAATCAAGCTTGTAATTGTTTTTTCAAGACAAAGAAACAGGAAATCAACTTTGGCTTCCCTAAAATAAGAAGACAAAAATAAAATAAATAAATACATAAAAAGTTTATTTCTACATCAACTGCTGAGATTTTTTCCAGCAGCTTCCACCAGGTCAACATTTGCTTTACTCAATTACTCTCTGCCTGAAGAAAGGATGCCATTGCTTGATCTCATGGAGCCAGGACATATTGAGTCATTTAGTAGCACAACAACAATAGTTGTGGTATATAAGCACAAAAAAGTAGGAGTAATTATTATCAAGAATTTCAAATTAAATTGAGAAGTGTTCAACAAGTTATTTGTACTCTGAAAATTGCTTGTCAGCTGCTGCTCCCATGACAAGTTTCTTGATATTGTGCTCACGAATTACCTCCGCGATCCCCTTTGCAACATCATCCATCGCGATATGTAGTTTTTCTGCTCGGACCTACATGAATACATAATGAAGGCCAACATTAGTAAGGTTAAGAGCAGGAATTGTAACAGAAACAGCTGACCCTTTACCAAGAACCACTTTTGGAAAATAAATTTTCTTGAAAGCACTTAAAAAAAAAAAAAACAAGTGTCTACAGGGAGAGCAAGAAAGTTTTCTGCAATTTTAACAAATTCCTCTGAAGAAGAAATAATACCCTTTTTTGAACACAAATGAGAAGGTAATCATTCATGATCCTATCAAAAATTTTCTTCCCAACTTCCTGTTGTTTAATCCAGCTTGCTGGAAAAGTCACACCATCTAAATACCAAGGAAGAAAAAAGAAAGAAGAAATCAAATATTGACCTAGCAAAGAATTTCAAAGAAACTGATACAACAAACCAATTGTGAAACTGAAGTTACCAATGGTAATTACACTGGCAGGCTGAGAAACATGAAGAATGCAAACTTTTGTTGGACGAAGATTCTGTAATGCCCACAACAAAGTGTGCTTGCTTTCTTCAACAGCTTTTCCTACTGCAACATATATGGTTTCATCAACACCAGTAGTCATCTGATCCATCTGTTTGTTCAATGATCTCTTTACTCGTTGCCACTACACTGATCCACTTGTTCGCATGTTAGAAGACAGAGCCAAAGATTATTATATTTCCGATGAAACTTTTAGGGCAAGTTACAACTTACGAGTCAATCCAAGGTCAATTACACTGTGTACTTTGGAAAAGACAAGATTCTTTGCCTTAGGACTTAAGTGCAGTTGATCTGACGGCTGTGATCCATCAGAATTTAATCATAAAAATATTAACCAGGAGAATGGGTAAGTTTCTTTTGTCTAGTTTTGGATCCGATAACATTTTCCACCCTCTCAGTGGGTTTCTTTTTCAATTGTTTCAGCTGGGTTCCACACGCTAAATTCCTATTTCTTCCCTCGTCCCTTTCGCTTGCAGTAAAACTTGCACCACTTTGCTTTTGTTTCACCTTCTTGGAATATGCTTCTTTCAATTGTTGACAGTAAAGACATTAGTTCGTCTTTACTTTGTTAGGAAAAAGAAATGATTCCATTAGAAAAAAAAAGATGTGAAGTAGGACATAATGATTAAAGCTTATAGGCTCTACAGGTATTGAAACATATCACTAAAATGCTAACAAGTTGCAGTTTTATTTGATATATTCTACTAGCATTATTATATCATTAAGACTTAATGATCTGGATGCGTTTAGCTCACGTACTTTTTTTTTTTCTTTTGGAATTTAATTTTGTTGTTTTTTTTTTTTTTTGGTTTAGAAACTTTTTCTAAGTAATTTTACAATCCCAACATTGTAAAAACTATATATATGGAAAATAAAAACTCATTTTTTTGAAATTTTTTTAGAGTTTGAAAATAAAGTGAAAATTTTACCTTATTTATAATTATTTAGTTACATTTTTAGACTAGAAATAATTTTGTTTATTTTAAAAATATAGTCATTTTATATATAATTTTTTATTTGATATTAGAAATTTAACAAATACAATATTTTTAAGATAATAACAGAATCTTTATTAAAAATGAAATAATTTTTTATTTTTTAAAATTTAACAAAAAAGATATTTTTAAGATAAAAATAATTTTTATTGAAAATATAAAAATATTTTTAAAATTCAAACAAAAACAATATTTTTAAAATAAAAAACACAAATTTTGTTAAAAATATTTTTAAAAATTTTTAAATTTCAATGAAAAAGACGTTTTTAAAATTTAAAAACTTAAATTCTGTTAAAAATATGAAAAAAATTTATATTATGATAAAATTTTGTTATTATATATAAAATTTACTATTACATATATTATATATACAATAAAACTTAAAATAATATTACTTAAATAATTTAATAAATAATATTAAATAAATAATTTACATATTAAATTAATAAAAATTTAAATAAATTTCTTACTTATTCACGTATTTTTAAATAATATTATATTATAATAAGCAAAACCAAAAAATCACTTACTACTTTTTCCAAAATCATTCTTCATATCAAAATCTAAGAATTTGCTAATAAAACGTACTTAATAATTTTTTTTCCCCAGAAAATGAGTCAAAGTCGTCTTCGAGTTTCTTTAACAAAATGAAAACAAAAAAGATGACTCGACTCGGTTCAGAATTCAGATAGTACAACAGTTTGGGTCCGTGATCTCCAAATCCTCCGGAAGATAGAGAGTGCCATTCTTGTCTTCGGTGATTTGGATTCTAGGGGGTGGGAAGGGTTTAAATGGCAAACCCAGCCCCTGAGTCCCACACTTCGTTTTGGTTTCCTTTCTGACTTTCGAGGCTTCGCTGTTGGACTTGGATTGGGAGTTCGGTCTCCTTGGATCAAGAATTCAGTAAACTTTCTGATTAGGTTTTAGACATGATGCTTTTGGGCAGCAAGTAGAACCGAGAAAGCCCAGCTCTTAGCCTGCTTTCAAACAGAACCTACTAATGTAAAGAGTGTTGAGTCTCACAAAACCCTCAAAGCCACAACATTGAAATATTACATGCTTTCATTACACTAATGACTAATCTTTGGCATACCAACAATCTCTTCCATACAAAATATACAATAGATGACACTATAACGTGACTGCAAGGTCTGAGATCCCGTAGGACCCAAACAAGTACCTAAAAAGAAGGAATATAAATATATATATGTACAGAAAATCACGTGTTATTCTATCTTTTGGCTACTTAAGAGACTGCCATAAGCAACAAACATGACTTTGAATCAAAAAGATAATCTGATAGTAATGCATTTTAATGTTGTTGCAGCCACTCCTGAATCGCAGAGCGAAGAGCAAGGTTAGGGACAATATTGCAATGTGCCAACTTACTGTTCGTCATGGGTGAGGTATCATGACCACTATCAAACCAACCTCTCAAAGCCTCTGCTTCATAAGTGAAACCATCTGCTGCTACATGAGGATCTCGCATTACTTCCTGAAATATTTAAGCAAATATAGGACTAGAATTTAATTGATGAACAATGTTAATTCTTGATATGAATCAAAACTTTGTAGCTAGTCTATAGCCCTTATAACCCACAGTCACAATAATCTTGGTAGATAATACAAATTTAACAGAAAAATGATTGGTTTTGAAAAATTCTAATAATAGTGGATGTCTTTTCTCTCTCCCCTTCTGAGGCTGGAGCTTGAAGAGGGGAGTTCATGAAGCAAATCAACAGTAGAGAAAGCAACACTGCAAGTATTCATTACATTAGGAAAGAAGAGTTGGCCACATTTGTGAATTATTTCCAAGGGATGAAAATCCCTTTTTTTTTTTACCCATTTCAATGGGGGATGAGGGAGGGAGAACTTATTCATTGCAGATGTGCCACTCAAAGGAGTATATGAAAGATAGGAGCAGGAACAGATTAACCTACCTGGAAAATGGGGCAGATAAAATAGGAAGGAGGTTGGAAATGCTCTTCAGAACCCAGCTGGAATGTGGATGAACCTCCACATGAAGCCCTCATTGGCTCAAGCATCCTCCACACATCTGTTGAAAGGTCTGGCCGACACTTTCGGTTCATCTCACAGCACCTCAAGGCTAAGTTAGCCAGTTGCTCGGCTTGCACAAATGGCCAATCTCCAGCCAAAGGATCCAAGATGTTTTTCAAATTTCCATTATCTAATGCATAATGGACTTCCTTTATTATACCCACGGCTTGTTTTCCTGTCAACAACCGTAACAATATGACTCCAAATGAGTAAACATCGGCCTTTGGAGTAAGTTCTCCTGTTGCAAGGAACTCCGGATCCATGTAAGCAAAAGTTCCCTTGGGGTCAGTTCTACAGCAGACAGTTGTATTGTTGCTTAGCAGACGACAGATTCCAAAATCACTCAGTTTAGTAACAAAATTGGCATCAAGGAGAATATTTGCAGGTTTCAAATCTCCATGCACTATGCCATGAGGCTTACTAGACTGAAGGAAGATGAGAACAGAACATAACTCTGTAGCTATACAGATTCGTGTTTGCCATGATAAAGGGGGTGAATTATCCCTGCAGCTTAGTCTGTCTTCAAGACTTCCATTGGGAAGATATTCATAAATAAGAGTCCAAGCTTCAGGACAGGCTCCAATGAGAGTGACCAGATTACGATGCCTCATCTTACTCAAAACATCCACCTACACATGGCCAACAGAGGTCATTCAACACTACCTGAACTTGCAATCAAATACAGTTCCACGCTTCTAAATGTGCAGCTCTATGCCAGTTACAAAAATTGTTGATACTATCGAAGTATAAATTATGAAAGTGTGGATTCTTTGTTCTTACAGTCGGAGAACACAAATGTTTTTCCTTGTACATAAAACATTCTCCTTTTTTTAAAATTTCAACTCTTATTATAAACAAAATGGAAATAAAACAACTATTTTACATGCATAACATGATGCTACTGTTAACAAATAGGCAAATATAAGCTTATTCATGACAGTGCAAATTTAAAATTTGATAGAGGAAGGAGAAAACACAGAAACATCAAACGTCAGTAAGACACAAAATACAGTTCCAGGAGAATGGACAATCTACTTTGAGACATGTACAAATAAGGCATGCTGCAAACGAAGCCAAATAACAGAACTTGTAATTAAGTCTTTTGATTTCTGCTAGATATACGACAGGCTCCAGGAATGCACAACATAGATAACAACATAGATAACACTAATAACAGAATCCAAACCATAAATAAATGAACATTTTTTAGGGGACCATACCTCCTGTTGAAATTCTGATGGACCTTGCAAGCTATGAGAATGTAATACCTTGATGGCCACAGTGGTATGGCGCAGGAGACCCTTATAAATGCTCCCATATCCTCCTTCCCCAATCTTCAAGGTGGGATCAAAGTTGTGAGTTGCTTCCTCAATCTCTGAGAAAGAGAACTCACTGAAAAACTGAGGCAAATGTGCACCTGAGGTCTCAGCTCGACTTTTTCGCAACTCTTCAGCCTCTTTGAGTGCATTGTCTCGCTCCATCTGCAAGTCATCTCTTTCATTCTTGTAATTTTGCAAAACTTCAACTGCTGAGATTATCTTCTCTTCAAGCTCCTTAACCACCTTTTCAGATTCCATGATTTGTTTCTCCAGTGATGATTTCTGATCCAAGGCATGTTGAAGTTCTACCATGACCTCACCTCGCTGGTTATTCATCTTGTCAAGTTCCTCCTTTTCTTTTGCTAATGCTTCCTCAATTTCTTTCCTTCGTTTTAACTCCTGTCCATACAGGATTTCTGATGCTTTGACCTGCAGATTAGCAGCCATGACTGGTTCTTTAACAAAAGGTGATAGAAAGCTAACTTTACATCTTAGAGTAAAAAAGGTTACCATCATTTAGTTTGCATATCACTTCAAGACCCATCCTAAAGATTGAGGATATGATTCTTTTTAGTTCTAAATTTCTCCAGTAAGGACAAATCGAATAATTAAGAGAATATCGCATGCATTCTGCAATTAAAAGGTCAACCAACTTCCTATTCATTGTCATATGGCAGGAAAGTTGAGCACACTATGCAAAATACATGGAAGATTCACTTTTGCCAGAGCAAAAACATCAAGTATCAATTTCTGATAATCTAAATACTAGAAGAAATTTTTGCATGAGGTTTTGTTTGATTCCACGGAATTAAAGCAGGAAATTTACCCTACGTATAGCCTCAAGAGCATCTTTTTCAGCTTTTGCACGCCTGACTGCCTCTTCAAATGCTTCTCTTCTTGAGTTTTCAGCCTCTGCCATTACTTGTTGAAGTTGATCATAAAGAGTATTATCTATAGTTTCATCCTACAAGAAGCAATCAATCATTTGTGAACTTTTTGAGTAGTCTAGATATAAAAGAATTGGTATTGCACCAAGTTGGTTGGTCAGTTTAAAGGAAGAAAGTGAAGCTTAACATTCTCAGATAATAAATGAAAATCTTGCACGTACCAGAACACTGGGAGGAGATGACAGACGAAATTTCTCTTTAGCCTGAGGCATTGAACTAGATTCTAATCCATTTTCATTCTCCTCAATTCCCATGTTTGGGACCAAAGCTGCATCAGCCATTCCACTGGAAGAGCATGGTAAGAAAACAGAACTCTGAGGACATCTTCTAGATAAACCACCCCATTCATCAGAACTACTCTCTGCAAAAGATCTGCTCCGCAAAGTTGATAGCCCTCCCTTAGCATCAGGGGAAATAAAACCCAATGCACTTCCTATGCGTCCATAAGCATTTTCAGATCTCACTCTATTCAGTGAACCTGGTATAGAAGTAAAGGGTTTTACTTGACCAGTTTGTGGCAGTATAACAGATTTTGGTCTGAAGTGATTTTCCCCAGATTCAAGGATTGGACTTGCTGGCAGTGCTGATGATGATGATGATGCAATATCAGTTACATCTACACTTAGTTTCCTGTATCAATATTTTATTTACATTAGTCACCAGAATCAAGGCAACCGGTAAACCAAATTCATAATATCAATATACAAGCGTACTTTCTCCCTAATAAGTCAACATCGGAGCATCGGGTACAATCATTCTGCAAAGCTTACAACCTGCTCCACTTTATAAGTTTGATAATCATTACAATCAAGCATACCTTGTGTAGATAAGAAGTCCTTTGCAGAGAAACCATATTGTGTGGCAAGAAGCAGGTGCATGTTCACGCACAGAGATGGCTTTCTTGGACTTGAGGTCCATGACTTTCCTGCAATAAAAAGGAATAAGATCAGCAATACCATCAAGGTGCTTCTCTAAGAGGAAAGACATGCTAGTTCTTTAGAAGATCCTCGGGATGGATCATTACTTATGTGGTTTATACTTCGAATAATGTTTGTCCGCTGCTCCTCCCATTACAAGCATTCGAATCCCATTCTCAGATATCATTTCCAAAATCCCCTTCTCGATAACGTCCATTTCTTTGTGCAGCTTCTCTGCTTTCACCTACGATAAAATAACAGAATCTAAAACACATTGAAAACTTTTGCCAATTCTTCGACTTGGTATTTAGAAACAAAATTAAGGACTCAAAAACAATGATCTGAAACAGGTAGTGATTGTAGCTTGAAAACTTGAGCTAAATTATTCATTATCTTGATGCACAACCACAGCAAATAGCCATCATAAACTCATATTGCTTTTCAAGAACAAGAAGCTAATACCCCCTTTTGGAGACAGAGGAGAAGGTATTTATCCAGGATCTTATGCATTTCTTGTCTTTCAAGTTCCCAGTATGCATTGACTTCCTGTTCTTCGAGTTCACTAGCTGGAAATTTTGTACCCACTGCAAAATAAAACAACAAAACAATATTTCAATTAGAAGATACAAAATTAAGCAAGAGAAAAGAAGGGACAGGCACAATTGATCATATTTTCTAAAAAAGAATAACTACAATTTCAAAATTTTTCATTCCGTTCATCCAATTATTTTAATTATAAATCACATAAACCAAGGTCTCCAAAAAATTAAAATCAACAGAATTTAGGCAATTTTATCCTTAATTTTGGTTTTTCCTTCTGAAATTAATCTAAATATTACTATAAAGAAAAGTCAATTGCAATAAAACTTACTGTCATTGAGTGGAATCATCTTAGCCGGCTGGTGAACATGAATTATGCGAATTCCTTTTCCTCCGGAATGTTGTAAGGCCCATAATAAAACGGACTTGTATTTTTCAACGTCTTTGCCAACAGCCACATAGATTTTATCTTCAACTTTACGCGCCACCGGTTCCTCCACAATTTCTGTTCGAGCCGCCATGATTCCTGGAGTTCCAACGTGGTGAAACCTCATCGAATTCACCCCCGGCGTTATTGCAGGCACGGGACTCACCACAGCCATCCTCCAATTAAAAAACTAATCACAAAAATATATATATTTCTCAACTAAACTCACCAAAAACCTATACAACAATAATTTCCCCGCACATCTTCGACTGAGGAAGCTAAAAACGACGGGGCTTTGGGAAGATGAAAAGAGTAGGCTTCTTATATTGAAGAAGAAGAAGAAGAAGAATAAGAAACGGTGGAGGGTGAGGTTCTTGTTTAATGTTCAGTAATGCTTAGTATAAAAGGGGCTTGTTGTCTATAGCTCTGACGACAAACATTAAAAACAGGATAATGACTGCAAAAGCAATTAGAAATTAGATTAGATAAACACTATGGCCATTTGGCGGGCTCCCTTTTCCTTAGTATTGCGGTAAGTGTACAATGTTGCCTCTCTTTTGAGGATCAGTCTCTCTCTCTCTCTGTCTGCCTCTGACGACACTCTGATTCTGATTTTAATGCGGCGAGTTTTAATTTGCTTCCAAACGAATCTTCCACCAACGTACCGTTGGGCTCCACTTCAGTTGTTTAGAAAGTGTAAATGCCTTTTTTTTTTTTTTTTTGCCCCTCCAGAAATCTTATATTCGTTCAAATAGAGACATACGATGTATTTATTAAAGTAGCAATTTTTTCTTGGTCAAAAAAAAAAAGTTAACAATTTTTATTGAATAGTGTAATTAAATTATTTTTAATAACTAGATCAAGTTTAATTGGTGACATAAAATATTTTTATTTTTGCTATATTTGAAATTGTTAAATATCGAAATATTATAATATATGATGTATACAATTAAAAGTAAATTTATCATTTATCAAAAAAGATAATTTATAGTACTAGATTTTAGTCAATTGATTTAGGTATGTTTCACTATCACTTTCTTTTTTTTAATAATGAACATAATCACGTAATTGTTCACGTATATATATTTTGTAGAAAAATATGAATAAATAAATTAACACACATTAATTTAAACTTAAATATTGTATGAAATTTATAGTTTTAGGTTTTAATAACTCATACATTTGTCTTGTTTTGGAAAATGCTTTGCGGGCGAACTATAAAGAAAGAGTACACTGGTTAATTGTTGATAAAGGGAATTAACATTGTAACTCCTAAGGAAGGGGGGGCTCCCTCGTGAGAATAGTCTTTTCTGTTCCAGTAAGAGCTGTTGGAGGACTCGCTAGTGAATCAACTGTTTTAAGGAAATGTGGGCAACCTGACAATTACAGCCAAGAGTCGCTGGGGCAGGAAGGGGATCCATTGAATATAACAATCTTCATACATCAGTTGAATTAAAGAATGCATTTTATTTCAGACAAATTCAACTTGCTTGCAAGACAATTAGACATAAATGTCATTTAATAATAATTCATAAGGCATGTATATTATTCAAAAATTTAAGTGCACAATATCATTAGTTAAGAAAATACGTAACATAGATTAAGGATAAATTAGAAATTTAAGAAGAAAAATAATGGGGTATTTTTTAATTAGGGTAAACAAAGGGAGTATGGTGAAAAACCGAAAATAATGAATTGCTGTAACGTTGCCGTATTTGTCAAGAAGAGATCCTCGACGCTGATGGGGTGCTCGTCTGTCAAAATGTACGGATGAGTATGGGGCCACCCATGAACCGCAGAAGAATATTCTTGGTATAATACATTATTAAATTTTTTGTTTGACCGTCGGGTTAGCCGTGTTCCACGCAAGCGGCAAGCTGTCAAGGACGGTTACTTCTTCCACTCAAGCTGTCAAGGATGGTTACTTTTTCCACTCGGCAATAAACATCAAACTTCAAAGGCATCAACAAAGTATTTTAAATTTTGAAATATAGGAAAAGTAAACAAAATCCTCATCCGCGTTTTCTTTAATTTTTACCGATTGTTTAGCTGTTTTTTGTCCGTTATTTTCAAATGTTGCAACTGTCGTTCACAGGCGTGGAATTTTCAAAGATGATTTGCAATATATTTTCCACGTGTAGTAACCGCCCTCCTTCACGGCCATCAACAAACTTTCAAACAAACAGTATCCATCCTTTTTTTTTTTAAATTGAATAAAAAAATTTAGACTATTCTCTCTGATTCAATTTGTTTCTTTCTCAACATTGAAATTTAAATTTATTTATTTCATGTCATGCTTTCATAATGTGTGAATTAGTACATGATATTTAAAAGGAAAAAATAGTTTTTTTTTTTTACCAATAAATGAGAGATGTTGACTCTATTTTATTTTTTAAGGCCAAAATATTTTATTTTTTAAAATTCATTTGATACGATGGTAGAAAGAATTCCAATCATATTATAGTTGCCTTTATAACGAACATTCAAAGGTTGAATTATTAAACAATATCACTAAGTAATAAAATTTTATCTTATTGTGTTGTCAAGTGAATGTTAAATTATTAATGATTTTGAATATTTCATTGGAGAGAAAAAAAAAAAACCAATAATTATGTTAGAAAAAAAAAATCTGACAGATTGCTTAGAATTTACTCATTGATTGCTTTCTCTTCCTTTTAACTTGAATCAATAATTGATTTATTGACTATCAAATAGATGCTGGATAACCTTTGACCATGCACTATCTTAGAAAATGAGCCGGTATTTTTTTTACTAGTTTTACTTTGTTCAACTTTTAAATTAGTTGAACAGATGGTTATGGTATTATATGTTTGTTGTTTTTAGGCTTGTTATAATTCATTTTCAATATCATAAAAAAATATTTTAAAATATTATCAAATTAAAAAAAAAAAAACTCAGATTCGATACAATGTTTTTTCTTTATATTTGTCTAAAAATTTTGGTGCAAACTACAAAAGAAATTCTAAAAATGCATGATACATTTCAAATATGATACAAAAATTTAAGTAAAATTTTTTTTGCCAGAATCTTCCTTTTAAATTATATTATAACAATGTCAACAAATGTAATAAGATTGATGCCTTAAATAGAAGAATATTCCATAAGATGGTAGTGCATGTGTCTTTGAATCATGTCTATTTGACAATAAACAAGGATAGAATCAGTTAACACTATATAATTAATAATTCCAAGTTTTTTTTTTTTTTATGGTAGATTGGAGTTGGTCTGAAATTCTATTTTCTAGATTATCTTTAAACTTGGGCTACGCGTCTTCAATGCCTCGCCTTTCCTACACCAATAACCACTATTTTGATGATGATGATGGAATTGGAAAAAGGTTATACAAATTCATTTAATATATTCATATAATACATAACAAATATATTTGGTACACATAATTATAATAAGATAAGATAAAATGATATTATAAATATGATTAAATTAAATAATACCATCATATATTGTATTTAATATGTGTAAGGATTAGATAAGATAATTTATTTATTGATCAAAATTATCATTTCTAAAAATTTATATAATTTAAATTATTGATGAAATTTTTAAGAGTATAATAAGATATGTAAATTTAATTTCATGAATTAAAAATAATTATCTCTATTTTTTAAGGAATGAATTATCATACACTAAGAAGACAATTATCCTCCTCATAATTCTATTCCGTTATTTAGATACAAATCAAATATAATACATAATGATTATTATCATATCCCATCCATCATCTACCAAACATGACCAAAAACTTATATTATAGTTCATATTAGTATTTTCGCTTAAACTTTTGGAATAAGCAATAAATGTATGAGATGAGTGCAAATAATAGTCTTAACACGATCTCTTAAATGCTAAATATTATTAGAATGAGTACGCATAATTAAATCTAATAATTCGTGTCACTATGTCGTGTAAAAAATTATATTCTTATCAAGTTTTATATAAAAATTGAATGTCACAATTCATGTCGATACAAAAATATAAAATATAATTTTTTTATTTTATTAAATTTATTTATGATTTTTTTAAAATTTTAAGTCATGTTATATTCGTATCTTTTATTTGTATCATTTTTATATCATGTTATTATATCGTATTTTAAATTGTAAAGTTTACGCGTAACTAGACACAACTTTGACCATATTTCTCTAACTGTAGCCAAAAAAAAAAAAAAAGAGAAAATAAAACCCATCAATACTTTCAAGGTTAAAATTTAATACAAATTTTGCTTAGAACATTAGGTGAAGATCATTGATTTTTCTATGATTTTAACTAGAAAAAGGGGGCCATTTTGAAAAAATTAAGCTCAATTGTCTAATATAATCAATGAATAAGACATTGATAAGAAGTGTACCCCTAAAAAAACAAGTACATTAAAAGAAATAAAGATATAATAAATGATTGACACCGATAAGAAGTGTACCCAAAAAAATAAGGATGTTGAAAAAAATAAAGATATATATATTTTAAATAAATAATCCATGTGTGAATGATAAATACATAACAAATTTTTTATGTAGTAATATAATATAATTGAAGTTGATATGAATAATAAGAGTGAAAGTCGAAGTAAACATATCGACATAAAGTACTCAACTTTAAAAAGGCATGTCAAATCAAACGAGTTTTTTATTGAACAAATTAGTATTGAATTGATGATTGTAGATCCTTTAATGAAAGGCATGCCATGAAAGTTGTTAAAGGATCATGTAATGCAAATGGAATTTATTTTAGTTTAATATGTTCCTATTAGACTTTATGTATTTTGAAACTCCGAGTGATTAATTTGTCTTCTCCTTTACTTTGTTGTATACATATCTATTTAAGAATGACAACTATTTTGTGAGGACCTAAAATAAGCAATTAAGACTTATTCATACAGTATAAAGTATCAAATATATGATTTATTAAAAAAAAAAAAGCAATAATTATGTTAGAAAAAAAAAATCTGACAGATTGCTTAGAATTTACTCATTGATTGCTTTCTCTACCCTTTAACTTGTATCAATAATTGATTTATTGACTATCAAATAGATGCTGGATAACCTTTGACCATGCACCATCTTAGAAAATGAGCCGGTATTTTTTTTACTAGTTTTACTTTGTTCAACTTTTAAATTAGTTGAACAGATGGTTATGGTATTATATGTTTGTTGTTTTTAGGCTTGTTATAGTTCATTTTCAATACCATACAAAAATATTTTAAAATATTATTAAATTAAAAAAAAAACTCAGATTCGATACAATATTTTTTCTCTATACTTGTCTAAAAATTTTGATGCAAACTACAAAAGAAATTCTAAAAATGCATGATACATTTCAAATATGATACAAAAATTTAAGTACAAAATTTTTTACCAGAATCTGCCTTTTAAATTATATTATAACAATGTCAACAAATCTAATAAGATCGATGCCTTAAATAGAAGAATATTCCACGAGATGCTAGTGCATTTGTCTTTGAATCATGTCTATTTGACAATAAATAAGAATAGAATCAGTTAACACTATACAATTAATAATTCCAAGTTTTTTTTTTTTTATGGTAGATTGAAATTGGTCAGAAATTCTATTTTCTAGATTATCTTTAAAC